TAACTCTAAATCTCCAAAGCTGATTTCAAGATATGATAGTCTTTTCTTTGGCTATGAAGACAAATTTGCTGATCATAGAATCAATGAAAAACACAATGTTCTGGAAACTTTAAACCTGGTCAACAAACTGACACTTCCAAGTGCAGCAGAATACTTGAAACCAATAATTCAACAACTTCTTGAAGATTGTCAGGTCAATCCAGACAGCGGCCTGTGTGTCCCAAATCAAAAGATGTTGAAGTGGCTGGAATCACTTTGGTTTTTTATAAGTGAAATTGCACTGGAGACATCAAGTACTAATAAAGAAAGTCTGACATTAAGGCATGTGAAGGAACTTTTAAGTGACTGCTGCATCCTACCTGTTGTGCATCAAAAGGGAAACAACAAACACTTACTACAAACAATGAAAGACATGTCAAGTGTAATTTCACATGTTTCAGATGGAGATGTATCACAAATCCTCTTCAAACTTGGTTTTCTAAAACTAGATTTCCTCTTCTTTTTAAAAGTACATCGACAGTTTTACCTAACTCTGCACCATGAACTCATGGATGTTAATGATAAAAGCTCAGTGCTGGACCAAGTCTGCAAAATCAACCAGTCAGAGTTTGGATTTTTGTCAAATGATGATTTGAAAATGTTTCAGAACTTCTTACAGTCAGGAGCACCTAAAAACAATCAAGAATATGAGAGGAAGCTTAAATCTTTACCAATATTTGAAACAACATGTGGTGAACGGGTAAGGATTGATGGGCCAAAAGAGGTATTTATCCTCAACAGCAAACATTCAAAGACATTTTCACATTTGTTCACTCTGTGCAACAGCAACAACACTTTCCTGAAATACAACCCAGAAAACTTCAGTCTGTCAGTAATACTGGAGATCAAAATCCTCAGTGATGTAGACTATTTTATGAAGTTCATTTTACCATTTGTACAAACACTCACAGAGAAAGAGACTCTTGATTGCTTAAAGCTGATATTATTAATGGAGACTGAGTTTGACCTTTCCACGTACAAGGACATCATCTTCTCACTGAAGTCTGTAAAGCTGATTCGAAGCTCTCAAGGTCAGCTTGAGACTGCCTCATACTACTATGACGACAGTGTGGAGCTTTACAAGAAAATGGTTCCCCAACATAAATTTGTTCCACAGACATTTTGGACAGACTTGAGTGAGGGAAAAGAATATCACTCAGAAAAAGCAAGAAAACTGATCAGAGACATTGGAATGAAACATGAGGTGACCAATGATGAAATAATCAGTTTTGCACACCAACTGGAATCAGAAGCAAAAGAAAACAGAAACCTTGAAAAGTTGAAACAGAAGTCAAATCTGCTTTTCAATAAAGCCTTGGCAAAAAGTTGCAAAGACAAAAATGAAAGGTTGCTGAGAGACATCGCTGATATCAAGTTTATTTTTCCAGTTAAGATTCAGGAAGATCTCTGCAAATATCATCAACCATTTGCTTCAGAGAATACCACCGTTCAAATCAGAGGATGTTTGATTGATGGAGATCCTAAATATCAGGAGTTGATTTGGTCCTCAATGCCAATAATACATTTGCCAGGTTATGTCTCACAGAATCTCTCACAAATGATAGAAAATGTTGGAGCTCACAAACAGCCACCTTCAGAAAAGGTGACCAGAAACATGAGAAATATCTGTCAGTCTCCATGTAAAACTGAGGAAGTGATCAAAACTCGTGCAGTTGTGTTTCGTCATGCGTATGCCTACCTTCAAGCCAATGTCTTTGAAGGACAGTCATTGTATGGTCTTCCTGTTGTCTTGGTTGAAAAAGATACTGTGCTTTTTAAAGCAGATGGTGTGTGTCTCTCCCTCTCTGATGAACTTGAGTTTAGACCATACTTGTACAAAATATCTTCACAAGATGCCTTGTATGCAGAGTTCTTTAAGAAAGTTGGTGTGAAGGAAAAACCCACTGCAGAGCATTACTGTAATGTCCTGGCAGCTGTTTATGCTGATTCCTGTGATAAAAAGCAGCTGAATGGAAACCAGTTGATTACTGTAAAACAAGCAGTTCACCATTTATTTCTCTTAATCAAAACTCAAGGAGAACAGGCCCTCAATGGTGATGATCAGACTTTGTATCTTCCTGCAGTTGATGGAAAGCTGCATACATCAAGTTCACTCTACTACAATGATACAGTGTTTGAGATCAAAAGGTTGGAAGAAGGACTAGAGGATAGGTTCTTGTTGCTCGAGAAACTCAGTGAATGTCATCTGGACAGTGACATCTTTGAAAACCATCAACTGGTGAAAATGTTGTCTCAGAAACTTCAGCCTAAAATGTTGTCTCAGATCACTGAGGAGAAAATTGTGGAATCAAACATGCAGCCTTGTGAGCTTGGGAATGGTTGTGAGTTCAGAGGATGGTTTGATAAACATCTCTCCTCAGAAGCATTCAAACATGGACTCATTTGTCTCCTTAGAGAACAAACTGGAGGTAAAATAACACAGCAAGAGGCAACAGAGATATGTGAAAAGGCCTTTGGCAGCATTAAGATTGTCTGTTGTAAATCTCTGAAAACGATGCTTTGGCTGGATGAACACCCACTACACAAAACTGCCAGAGATACTGATGCATTTGTCAAACAGGAACAACAAGGTCTGACCTTGTACTTGAAACACAATGATGACATGACCCCTAAAGTAATAAACAAAGTTAATATGATTTTGACAAAGGGGATTAATGCTCTTTTAGGCCACCGAATTTTATCAGTTCACCTTCCAGTGCTTGGACAACTTCTCATGTGTGATGATCTGCAAGATGTGCAGCAAACTCTGGCTGATAATGACATCCGTGATAGTGTAAACATTGAAACAAAAACTCTCAGTCCACCAGATCCTGGGACAAACATTGCAGATGAATGGCACGATTCATTAGACATGAGCTTTCTGAACAACTTTGAAGAAGGGGAATATGTTGGCTATTGGACAAACAACACATACATTTATGCAGTTATTGTCAAAGAACTTCCTGGTTGCTCTGGAAGATGTTCCTGGAAATACAAAATAGATATTGGAGAGGATGAACCAGTAGAAGTCAGTCATCTTGACCTATACCAATTCAAAAGAGACACAAAAATTAAGTCAGATGGGATCAACTACAGTTCCTCTCTGGGGCTGGTTGTGAAGAATGTGTCACCTTCATCCCAGACCCCACAAAGTTCTTTACCAACCTCTCTTGATGAAGCTAAAAGAGAAATAGACAAATGTTTGGCTGAGATTTGGAATCTTCCTGAAGAGGAGAGAAGGAAAGCTATCAAGAGACTTTACCTTAGATGGCATCCTGATAAAAATCCTGACTGCCAGGACCTCGCCACAGAGGCTTGTAAATATTTGCAGAATCGAATTAATGAGCTCAGCAATCCGTCCGATTCAAGGAGAACTTCTAATTTCAGAGACTTCTACCAGCAATGGGACCAAGAAGCCAGGCATCACAGAAGTGGTCGAGAAAGATTCTTTAGATCTAGAGCATCCCATTCCTACAACTTTTGGACCCATAACACAAATATTCCAAGACCAAACAAAGAAGAGGCCAAACGTTGGTGTAAACAGGCTCGCTGTGATCTTGACGCAGCTCAGAAAGACACAAGTGGAGACAGCACAGAGTGGTGTCTATTCAAAGTCCATCAGGCAGTGGAAAAGGCTCTCATTGCAGCAGGATATAAGCATGACGGCAAACACATCGCCAGCAGCTCAATTTCTACCACAGCAGAAAAAGTTTCTTGCTACCACCCTCAACTGAGAGACCTTCCTCAGATTGTAGCCGATCTGAAGTCACTGGGAGTGGACGCCAAAAAAACTCAATACCCCAACTGTCATCCATTTCCCCACATTCCTAATGAGCAGTTCAGGTCTGAAAATGGAAGATTAGCAGTGAATAGAGCATCTGAGCTACTCAACAAAGTAGAAGCATATGTAAATTAGATTGTGCTGTTAAATTGATCTTTTTTTTTTTCTATTAGATTTTTTTTAAGTGATTTCTGCTAATATTTCATTCTTTCTACTTTGGTAAACCCTTTATTGGTGGTGTAATCTTCAAATATGAAACAAAAAAAGTACAAAATTGACTACTTTTAATGAGTCTTGTGTATTTTATTTCATGACAGAAAACTTAAAAACTTTGGATTATTTAAAAAAAAATAGTAATATCAAAACATTTTTTTCAAATGCAGTATATGTGCATGACTAAATAAAGGTTCTAAGTAATCACTGTATAAAATGTAGTTTTGTATAATTATAGCAGCATTGTAATGCTAATGTAAAGATTGACGCACAACTTTAATAATCTTTAGAAATACCGACTCAGGAACCTTTTGCAGTTTATATCACTAAAATAACTTAGTATGTTGTGTACACTCTAGTGCAGTGCATTGTATTTTTTTGTTTCTTGACAGATACTAAGTTAGTTCATTATTATTTACTTAGTGCATTTCTTTCATCTATATTTTATTATTGTTTTATTTTACAACATGCTTGCAGTACATTCCCAATGGCTGATTGTGTTTGAAAACTGAGCAAGACTACTGCTGTTTACTGTATTATTTTTATTAGGTGTTTTCACTTTAATGTTGAAATAACTGTTATTAGATCATGTTTTATTTAGCTTAGGCAAAATGTTCCTCTTTCTAGTTTATGATAACCATAACTATTGCAACTAAAATATTCATTCCATATAAATGTGTTTTAGTTACAGTTAACTGAGATGTAACACACAAACTTTCTGTTGCTAAATAAATATTTTCACTTGTACTCATGAATCATGTCCGCTTGTGGTCTTTACACTTAATCTTTAATCCATGTTTAGTTTAATTCAAATTCAAAAATACCTTATTGATGCCAAAGGGAAATTAAATGTTGTTGAGACTCATATTAATTCAAATATCAGAATAAACTAATCTTATTGGTCATTGCCGAGAAGCAGACAAATAATGTTCAGGAGGCAGAAACAACAGACATTTTAAGTTAAAAGTACTTTTTGTTTTATTTTTTATTATCAAATCATGTTATGAAAATAATGACAACTGACTTAGATAATTTTATCTTCCTGTACATCACCACAAAACTTTGCTCTGACTTATGCAACATCCCTGCAGTTTCACTGTCTTCTCTTTGTGCTGGCGTTTTGATCACCTCATCTCTGAAGTATCCATCCCCACCGAAGAAATCTTTGCAAGGCATCCCACGTGACAAACTGCTTTTGTACACGAGTGAGGAATTCACAGATATACCAGAATTAGTCTTTATTTGGAGTTTCCTGTTGCCGCCTCATCAAAAATAATTTACACAAAATCTGTACATACTTACAAGGCTGGAGTTTGTCACTGAAGAAACTTTAAAATTCAAAGGAGCAACAAACAGGGTGACATGAGGATATTAGACAGTGAATCTATATTGTGCATTTGCAGATCAAACTTTCATTTAACCTTACGGCACAGGAAAATTAGGGTAAGACAACAGCTATGCCTACCGGAAATGATTTTATTCACCTTCTGTAAAACCCACTTTCAATCATAGAAATGCTTCAGCATGTTTGCGGTGGCTGATGTTTGTATCAAGTATAACTATATTAATCTAAAACGTAAAACACCTGTCATAAACACCAGCTTCAATCTGCATATTCACACTCCATCACACTGCTGACAAACTAAGCTGGAATATAAGCAGGCGTCTTAAAAACACTTAAGGCTTCATTTGTGTCCTTTAGCTCACGGCTAACAGAAATCCACAATCACAATCCTGCTCCTGTCCATCTTTTGATTTAAACTAATTAGCACTTTGGGAATTAAATCATTCAGAGAGCTGCATCTTTCACATCACATGTATCACATGTTAAAACTAATCAGTCACTATTTTACATGTCAGGATGTAGAAAGCGATGAGATGGAATCAGCAAATGCACTCGACATCATCTGAAGGTTGGCGACAAAAAAAAAAAAAAGTTACCTGATGTGAGTTGCTCTGCGATGTGAGCCAAACACTATTCTCTTCTGACCTCTGATGTCAACTCTGATTTTCTGTTCCACTGTTTTTCTGTGGGATAGCAGTGTGTGAAAATCCCAGCAGATCAGCAGGTGTTGAGGTACTCAGCACTGAATTTACAAGAGAATTTCTAACCATAAAACCACTTGGAATGTTGCAGCAAGCCATGGAGAAAATATTGAGGGAAGATCAGACCTGCATAGCAGGCTGCTTTGCACACCAGGTTCGCTTCCATTGATTAATATTTTCAAGTCAGATGCCTTGAGTCCAAGTGAAGACACAGCCATCAACGACCTGATGAAATCCTGGGAAGTCTCAACTTTCGCAAATCCACAAATTCGAGTCACAATGGCAGAGGTGTGACGACCTCTGACTGTCACACCTCTATCGTATCACAAAGCTACTTTAAAAATAAATTTGTAGGATATTTTCTTATTCAAACAAAAGGTTTGCTAGTGGTTTATTTTTTAGTGTAGTTTCAAATGAGTTATGCTGCTATATCCACCAGATAATACGAGGGAGTGCAGTAGCCTCATCATATTTATTTTATCATTTTAAAAGCTCCTTCATCAACGCATATTCATAATGTGGGCATAAATTAAGAGAACAGCTGTAATGCTAGGATGCGTTTTCCATGAAAAGTGTTGGACCTGTAACACAAAAAGCTCTGGACATGTAGTTTGAATGTCGCTTGGTGTGCTGCCATGAGCACACGCTGAACATCCATCCATTCCGAGCGTAACAAAATAAATTACATCCATTGGCACGCCGTAGTGCCGTACTATAATCCTCCTGCTGTGCTGCACCTGGGATTGACGAGTCCAGAGTTATGATATACATCCAAAACTCACAGCAGTAAAATAAAAATGCCCTTTAAAATATTATTTGCTGATGCACAAAATCCACAAGGGGAACAGACATGAGGTTTGTGTCAGTCTCATATCTGCTGGGATTCTTTTTTTTTTTTTCCTAAGTCTTGTATCCCTGTTTTGGTCTCATGCCTTGTGTTGAAGAGCAAGAGTCACTCTACGCCTTGGTCACACAAGGCATTCATGTTCTGCTGTCTCCAGGAGTGGGACAAAAAAAAAAAAAAACAAGACACAGGAGGGGGCAACCCTCTGGTAGACGGGCCCCTCACATGTTGTACGCCACATAAATAGGATCCAGCTGGTCGGCCAGGAAACCGTCTCTGAGATGCATCCGCTGCTTCTCCCCTCTGGAGTTGATGGGGATTACACCGCGGTCAACAACAACCACTACTCCCACGATGAGGTAGTGCTCCTCCAGGACAACGTTTGTCACCAAGGCCACCAGGTCCAGGGCCTCCTGCTCGGATCCCTCCAGCTCTACCACTACCACCAGGAGGTTGGTCCATGTGAACACCGCGCTAAAGGGAGGCGGAAGGAGAAGAAAACAATGCACTCCATTTTAAATACTTGAAATTAAAATATAGTAAAGGAATTTAAAGATGTTGTCGGTTTCTCACCATTCGGCTATGCTCTTGTGAGAACGGATAACGGAGGTCTCGATGTCGATGGGGTGATACCTCATTCCCCTCAGCTCCAGAGTCTCGTCAAGAGAGCCCACCACATAGAGCGCATCGTGGCGCTCTGACACATTATAAAATTCACCTTTAGTTTATTTACAAATCTAACAACAGAGATACATGTTTCACTAAGCTTTCCCTAGCGAAACATCAAAAGTGGTACTAATCATGCTCACCTCCACTGGCGTCGGTGAGGTCGGTGCGTCGCAGGAAGCCCAGATAACCGGTTCTTGCCCAGATGGTCTGGGTGTCTCCGAAGCTGAGCTTGGTGTTAAAGTGGTCAGCATGCAGCGCCTCTTCCCCGTAAACCGTGTAGTAGCCTGTGGCGTTGTGAGGACTGCTCACCCAGATCTGTCACACAGGTAAACACTAAGACTTGCACATGATTCTGGTGGACATTTTAGATCCCTCACAACATTCAATGACCATTTTATTAAGGGGCTTTACTTCATCCAATACAACAGCTGTGACTTTACAGTTCAAATATGTTTTCTTTCTTCAGTGTACGGCCAATGATACAGTTCATATTTTATTTTCTGGTAGCATGGTGTATTTATCTTCCTGAGGCTCGAGAAATGAGTAGAATGAGTAGCAGAGTGCTCCTTTTTTATAATTAAAAAAGTTGGGTATGAAACAGAAATTAAGCTACTGAAAATGCAAGTATTCAGGTCCATTAGTAAAACACTTGTTTAATTATTTTAAACAAGTTTAATTATTTAGTATTTTCTTAAAGCTCAAATATCTATTCCTATCCTGTTATTTTATGTAAGTGTAAGTCTGGGGCTTACCTCTCCTAGATGTGAGTCTCCTAAAGGTCCTTTCGTCTCTGTGTTGGCAATGACCACTTTTACTCCAGGCAGAATCTATACAAGCAGACAGCCAGGTCTCAGTTTTAAAACTCAAACTGTGAGTAAACGTGAATCGTTCAGTCAGCATAACGATTGACTTGGGTTTCTTTTCTGGATATGTTATGTTTCACCTTCCCAGACTCCATCAGGGGCAGACTGTGAGGGGATCCTCTCTCCACAAGGCGAACCCTGGAGAAACGAAACAATGACATAAATACCAGAAATATAATTATTATGTTACATTGAGGTTCATGTTAAATTTGCTTGCGCTGACTGTGTTGCTATACTGCCCCCTACCTGTCATGTCGCAGAGCTCGCATATCCACATAAACGGTGGTGGGATCTGGTCCAGATGTTCCCTGGAACAAAACAAGCACAGCTGGAGGTTACGATCCACTTCAGTCCTGCTGTGACCTCTGTTTGCCGACTGTGTGAGGAGGACGTGGAAGCTGGTTATGAAACAGCTGCTGAGTAAGCAGGGGGGCAGCCAAAAGCCGACCAGAAGCCAGGCTACAGGAGTTAGGACTGAACCATGTACAGAGAGACATTTCCTCCATCAGATCCTCTGACCCCATCTAGTGTAGGGAGGGTTAACCGATCTAAACTTGATTTTCCTGGAACTTCACTACAAACACCTAAATCTGCTTTAGCTTACTCCTCTCCCGTAAAATCAAAAATTGTGAGAACTATTTGTCGTGATTAAACGCCTGCCGTGCAGCTGGGTTTTAAGTGAACTATTCCTCAAGCAGAAACTGATCCCATCGGTGGTGGGACCCGTTATCTTTACTGCGGTGAAACCAGCTACAACAAATGATGCTTTCCATTACTCTACTGGCAATGTGTGGAAAACACACAAGCAAGATCTGTGAGGAGAAAAAAAAAAAAAAAAAAAAACAGACAGGGCTGATTTAGCTCAATGAGTCATTTGATGCCAATCCATGAAGCAGCAGCAGATTGTTGTTGGAAAATGTCAACAAGACTCAATTAGTGTTTGCCAGGAAAACAATAGACTGTTATCACAGTAAAAAAAAATAAAATAAAAAATACATGCTCAATTAAATCTATATGTACAAGATATAGTTTTTAATAAGGGTAAGTCTTATAAAATATGTTCAAAAGGTACAAATACTTTCTTTTTTAGAAATTTACTGAATATTTCATATTTTACTACACTGTGAAAAATATCAATCAGTATAATGTGAAAAATCACACCCGGTAAATCCTTTATACATGATGAGAGACAATCCAATTATACAATTAAAAAAAAAAAACTGTCTAAGATGAAAATGAGCTGAATGAAGCCTCATTGGATCAAAAATAAAGGCAAACGAAGATAAATGTGAACTGAAGCAAAGCATGTTCAAACGTCATGCATGAGAAACAACAAATGGCCACATAAACACACAGGCTGAGCTGCAGAGCAAACGGCCACTCTCATCCCACAGTACCTGCTCAGCCAGTTTCCCTAACCTGTTGGGCTGACAGAACAGGGCAGGACAGATAGAGATATAGATGCATGTGTTCATATATATATATATATGTGGGACAGACACAAATAAACTTGTGCACAAAAAAGGGAAAACAGGAAACAGTTACCATGGTTGGGAAAACAAATTTAAATCAGCAACAGTACTGAGAAGGACTAAGTGCATAGTGTAGCTTTCCTAAGAAAGCTTTTATGTTATTTTACCAAAATAAAATTAGATGTTAGAAAACTTAAAATGTCCTGATTAAAACAAATCTTATCCAAATCAATGAATTTGGGTAAAATTTAATTTATCATATTTCACCCTTTCCTAGACTTTTTAAGACTGCATAGGAAACTACTACATGTTTAATTATTATTAGAGTGAATCAAAAGGATTTTTTAATTACTGATAATCAGGTACCATAGCAAAGATTGGATCAATTGCATAAATAATGGACTGAAGACTAACATATTCTTACTGTTATTTTTCTGACTCCAAGAACATAAATCTTATGTTTTACAAGTATTTCATCATTCCCTGTGGCATTTAGCTTTATTTTATCCTTTCCCTGTACGGCGAAGACAACAAACTCTGACAAAAAAAAAAAAAAAAAAAAAAAAAAAAAAAAACTATTACCAACACACACCTAAAAACTCATCAGTATTACAGTTCCAGATACCAACAGGAGGAATATTGCTTTCCATGCATTGTGGGAATGTTGTTCTTCAGCTGCTGCTTACCTGCAAACAGATTGCTATGTTCACTCTGCAGCCGAAGGTGGTGCTGACAGCTCGCGGTGAGAGCCCCAAGTCCTTGAAGATCTTCGAGAAGGTCTGAGTGAGGGTGATCCGAGGCCTTTCCTCCGCCACCACCATGCATGTCCGCACACAGGACAGATTCACATTTCGCAACTGGATGAAGGAAAGGAAAGAAGAGTTACATCAGGGTCAGACATTTACTTTTAAAATTATATAAAAGTTTCCAGAATTGTATGAAAACTGGAATTCCATTAAAAGTACAATCTTTATATTTTTTTTCTTTTGTAGAAACAGGTTTTTTTTCAGTAGTACTTTACAAGTAACCTCTTCCATGAATATTTTATAATGCGTTTATGTAACTAAAAACCTCAGCCAGGGTCATTCACATTATAAACAAGTCATTTATAAACCATATGCAGTGCAGGAGTGAACAGGAGATCATGTCTGAACAGTTTGTGGAGTAAACCGACCCGCAGAGCTTCTGTCTGTGAGCCCAGACCCTTGGTGCACATCTCCATGACTGAATATGAGCAGAAGGTGACGCGAACTTTGTACTGGCTGACAGCGGAAAGCCACAGAGAAGCATTACTCTCCAGCTCGAGAGGAGGAACGAGGATCGACTGGTGGCCGGAGTAAACACTAAAACAGAAACACAACGCTAAGCTTAGTGGAGTCACGTGGGGCAGACCTGTCTGCCAGTCAGCTGGTCAGAGCTGCTGATTTACCTGCACAGGCACCAGAGAGCCAAGCCCAGGCCGCAGTAGGGGTCCAGGCAGATGGCGATTTGCCGGGATGGGTAGAGCTCACACTGCAGCTTGATGGAGCGACACAAGGCACTGGTGGCAGAATGAGACATCTAGGAGAGACACAAGACAAAGGGACGGAAATCAAGAATAGTAAGAAGTGAAAATCATCCTAATATGGCACCTGCAGATAAACCTGAAAGTTCTTATGTGCTCCAGCATACTTTGACTCCTGCCAGGATCCCAGTTGTGGAGACACTGAAGTCCAGGTAAGCCAGCATCTCTGGTGTGGAGGGCTTGTATGTCTGAGGACACTTCTTCCTGGGGAGGTCATCTGCAGAACACAAAGATGCATTTTACTGCCGAGAGGAAAGATTTCTAACAACATGAGAATCCTAACTGAACCATAAAGATACATGTGGGTGTTTTTTTTTTCCAAATCATTTACCAGTGTCCATTACAGTGGGCCAGCTCTTGATGTCCACAGCTGCTGTAGCCTCTTTGGATTTCAGTAGCTTCATTATTGCTTGAGTTGTCAGGATACACACCGACTTACTGACCTGCAACACACAAAAACTGCAGTTAACAACAGAGAAAAAAAAACATGCAACACTACTGACACTGATTGCATTCAGCACTTTAGATAGAAAAACACAATGAAAGCAAAATGCAAAAATGCACCCTCTTTGTGAATCATTTTAAGATAAATAAGTTGAATCAGAGATTTGGGTGAGGAACAGATTGTTTTACCTCAACAATCATCTTGACAGTCGGCAGAGTGGTGGCCAGGTTCTGGGGGTGTGGAGGTCTAACTGTGACGGGGACGCACCCAGCATACAGGCAGCCATAGAAGGTTGCAATCAGGTCGATTCCTGCACACACGCACATACACACGTCAGCATGCTGATGAAATAATGAAACGCTAGGCTAACACTGAGAAATCATCCACAAAGCTTAAATTAACAGAAACGGTAATTAGCAGGACGTTTTACCCGGTGGGTAGACGAGTGCTACATGGTCCCCGGTGTTGAGGCGTCCAATCAGAGCTGCTGCCACGCGCTCTGCACGCTTGTGCAGCTGCAGACAGGAAGCTGTGCTGGCCACTGTGCCCTGAAGGGAAATCACAAACAGCTCAAGTTCACAGCACCTTATTTAGTTCACTCAGAACTTTAATTGACCCTGATTTAAAAAAAAAAAAAAAAGTTGAACTAAAAAGAACTTGAAAGGATTTTTGAAGATTTCTTAAATATTCCAAAGTGAAAAATCGTATTTATAAAACATAAGAGAAACCCTGAAAACAGTACAAGTTTGAAAAGCTTTTGCAGTTTTAATGATAAAGCATTATATGGTCGTGCCCCCATAATTTAGTTTTAACTTGGAAATGCAAACTGGAGCTGTAGTCCTTTAAAACAGTGACATATTCTCCACGATCTGACCACGGTAATCTACCAGGATTTCTACACATTGTAGCTGCATAGATCCAAGACTTCTCCAGACTTCTTAGTCCTTAATATTTCTCTTTAATCATAAAATATTAAAGTTAACAATACATAGTAGATACACAGTGGGATGGAAGGGAGCTAGGAAAGAGCAATGAGAGTAATAAGCGCATTTTGAAAATAAACTTTAAGCGGGTATTAAAAATAAAAATGTTTATTTGCCAGATTTAACATCCCCATCTTAAATGTCACGGTTTCATCAGCTGTAAGTGGAAAATCATCATAGTCAACAGAGAGGCTTGGGAGCAACAGTCTGTGAAATTAATCTATATAATGTGTAACCAAAATTATAATAACTTTGATAATTTTCTGATTTATTGACCATGACACAGAAATCACACCACCAGATTAGGGCCTGCAATGTAAAGCCTTACCTTTGAATTGAGAACGAGGAACAGAGGGTGATCCGGAGTGGCCTGAGCTCTCCACTGCAGCACATCCTGGATGTAGAGGAACTGTTGGTAAAACACAGTTACACATGTTTAATTTAATACATGGGGAATCACTGGGATTAAACATGTTTTTTTGGGGGAGATTCACCGCTATTATAAAATTATAAAACTGAAAGGGATGAATGATGGAAATGACTAATGGCAGAAAAATCAAGAGGTACGCAGCAAAATGCTCAAACTTTGTATCCAAGTACACAGAAGGAAAACAAAAGTTCAGAACAGAAGGAAAAAATAAAAGTCATTGTGTCAGGGATTCTTAGCAATTTGTAAAGTTTGCTTGAGAAGAAGGGAATCAACACTTTGACACTCCACAAAACACTGAATGTGTTGCTCTAACGTTTTTAACAGAAAAACAAGAGATAACAGTACAAAAAGTCTTGATTAAAGTTTTTGCAGGTTTTGAGTTAAAAAAAAAAAATCTCAATTGCATCTCAGATTTCACCTTACCTGTGTGATGAGCGGAATGAATGAAATGAGGATGACTATCTACCTTACGTGCCTGGTCATTGTCCTCGAGCTGCCCCAGGTCTCTCCCACAGGCTTGTGCTATCCTCTTGCCTGCCACCAGGTTGCCCACTATCATAGAGGCAGGACCAACCTCTGCCCAGCACAAGCATCCGACCATAACATGTTAGTGAAGTCAGCATGAGTAGTAACAATACGGGTGCAAAACAAACTGCACTACATGAAAGCATCAAGGTTGACGATGCTGAGCAGAAAAGATGGCCTACCTGGTTGCTTTTGTCTTGGTTTGGGCAGGTTGGTGACACATGTGTGAGGACACATGAGGACGTTGCAGGGATGCAGGGCGCCCTCCAGGAAACGCTGCTTAGTCTCAGATATGTGGATGCCGCCCAAAGGAGCTTTCGGAAGAGTGTTGGCAGGAACGAGAGCGAGGCAGTACACCCCAACCTGGTGGATGCTGTCAATGGCCTAAAAACACACACAAGGGCTGGTTAGATACATAATAAAAGCTAGACAAAAAAAAACATGTTTATGTCTTTTAAATTGAACCAAAAGCTGAACCTGAAAAGAAAACTTTATCTATACTTTGATTACATTAACTGAAAACCAACTGGATTTGCAAAGCATGTTTTGTGGACAGTGAAGCACAAAGCAGAAGTCTGGAGTTGCAGTAGGTTGCAGCTGCATTCCAGCACATGAGCTGTCAAGCAAAATGCAATATTTGTATGCAGACTTAGAAACTAAGAAATTATTTTCTAAATCATGCCAAAGTAAAGTCTTTTAAACAGACAAAGTCCACACCTGGAGGACTCGGCTCATCCACTGGAAGCTGTCCTCCTCTGAGGCGTCTGGCCTCTGCTCGGCCACCACAACGATCCTCTCATCATGCAGGACCGACACTGAAAATACTGCTATCCTGGAGCCAAAAGCACAACATCAAACTGTTGCAGCTGCAGCAATACAGTCAACCGAGTTAGCAAATGATGCAAGACACACAAAAATACAGAAAATACAAGGTGAAGTGAAGGATTTTTTTTTTTAAAGTGTTTCCCCCTTTACCTTCCCCTGTACACAAACTTCATGGGCTCTACAGCCAGCGCCGTGGCAACCACATCATCTGCATTGTGTCTCCGCCCACTGACGACCATGAGGCCGTCTATCTTCCCAACAACAAACACAAGGTTGTCCTTAAAAGAAAAATCAAGTAAAGATGGTTAAATGGACAGTAACTGAGAATGACCTTGTATTAAAGTTTGCATTCATACCACAGGTTGTTTGTCACATTGTTTATGTTATTCTACAAAGTTTAGTCATGTAAAGTCAAACTTTGCATCCAGAGTACACTGAAGGAAAACAAAAGTTCAAAATAGAAGGAAAAATTATGATTTTAGCTGAAGAATATTAAAATGTGGTTATATATTAAATTATGATTGTGTTTCTATTTTAAATGCATATTACAAATATATTGAACAAAAGTACAGGTAAAAAAAAAAGTTTCTTATTTGCATTTTTTTCCCCCTGGATGTGAAATAAGAATTAACTTTCTATGGCCAATATTTCTTTTTGTTTGTCTTCCTATTTTTAAAAATAATTGGAAGACGAAAAGCAAACGAGACATAAACAGGATTTTCTATTTTGTGATATTTGACTCAATTGACTTTAATCGTCATCCAGTCCAAACACAAGAAACATATCTAAGAATAAAAAGGTAAATAAATAATACAATCATTACATTTTCTGTAAGCTACTTATCAAACTGTTGATGGATTAATCATGACCCATATTATATTTCAGAGTTATGCTCACAAACTTCAGACTAAGCTTAGAAAGATGAGAGCATAAAAGGCTTAAAAATTCCTGCCAATTTAATGACGTGGAACTTACTGGCCCCACAAAGCCCAGCAGGGAGGTTCTGATGAAAGGTCTGTCACTGATGGAAACTCCAGATGGTTTTACTGGGATCGTCTGAAACACCACACAGCACTGTTAATGTTTTATAAATGAGATACAAACACAAAAGATGAGAGATCGGCAAAACTATAGAAATCTAAAATATGAAGAATTCTTGGGAAAGAGTTTGTTTTACCTTTCCTTAAACTGCTTTAAATGCAATCAGTTCACTCATATGGATTCATAAAAGCATCTGTCCTACCTCAAAGATGTTCTTGGTCATGCCTGGGAGACCGTAGTACGCTAAACCAGAGCTGCCTGAGCTCACGCAGATCTCTCCAACCTCGTCTGTCTGGCAGAGAAAAGGTGTTCCCTCCACTCGCACCACGCAGACGACAGCTGGGAATGGATGATTGAAACAGAATGCGGAACACAATGTTTTCATGTTTCAGCCTTAAGTGTCACATCTCAATGAGTCTGGCAATTATAGAACAAAGTCTTTAATGTTAGACTAAACGTCTCAAACCTATAAAATAATAATCAGCCAGTTCACCAACAAGATTTATAAAGTAGCTACAGTATTTCAGCTCAGTATTTCAACATGTAGACAAAGCAAAGCACAAACAATCTGTTCCTGTCGCACAATTCTCATCGTGATTTGTCTGTGTCCGGCTTTACCTCCAGGCATGACCTGGCCCACATCCTGAACTGTGAGGACAGAGAGTTTCTCCTCTGTGTCCACTCGGATCACACCGTGACTCAGTCCGCTCATGGACAGCACTGCTTTGCCTGGAGGAGGAACACCCATCTCTGGAGGTCTGTAGGACACACCAACACGCACACACATTACTATAGCTAAATAAAAAAACAGCATCTGACTAACATAAACACAAATGGAGAGACTTGAAGAGCAGCGAGGACATCCAAGGACAACTGCAACCAGTTCTCTTTTCATCCACATTACCCTGTAAAAAAGTATTCCCTTTGAACAATTTCACTCTTTCCTATGTCAAAATATCAAGCTTGAAATTCTTCTATTGTGATTTTATGCAACAGACCAACAGATAGAAATACATTCTTGTAAAGAGAAAGAAAAATTATATATGATTTTTAGACTTTTTTAGCAGTAAAAGTCTTTAAGGTGTGATGTGGATATGTCTCTAGCCTGCTTTGTTTATATTGTTCCAAGTTTAACCTGAAATCAAATATGCTCTATGAAGCCCTCTGAGGTTTGCAAGTGAATATTACTACTTTATGCAGGAGTCGGAGGAAGACATAGCAGGTCATGTTTGCAGTTTGCCAAAAACCCTGTAGTAAAGGTAACCGATATGTGGAAGAGGGCGCGTAAGTCAGTTAAGTCCAAAACAGACATTTTTGGCCAACATGCAAAAAATGCTATTTGAGAAGCCTGAACACATCATCGCCACAGTTTAGCATGGTGGCAGCATCAAGCTGTGGGAATGTCCCAAAAAGGAAAGGGAAGCTGCTAGGAGTTAATGCTACAAAGAATGAGCTAAGGTAGTACATAACCCCCCAAAGATTGCAAAAGGTTACAAAAAGTACTGATTGGGATGGTCAAGATTATGGTAGATGCTCTGTATTTTACTAATTAGGTGACTTCTGAAGGCAGTTGTTTGCACCTAATTTCTTTTCTTTTTTTTTGTTAAAACTTAAAAGCAACATACTTTTTTTTTCTTTCATTTTCCAATTGTGAACTACTTTGAGTTAGGTTGTCACATAAAATTTCAATGAAAAGTAGTGACATTTGTTGTGATGTGGCAAAAAGGGAAAATGTTCATAGGGTGTTCGTTTTATTCTTCTTTTTGTTTTTAAAACACACCTCATAAATTTGACGAGCTTTTGAAAATTTGAGAATCTGTCTCTCTCAAGCAAAAATAATTCCAACAGGATTTTTACTGTTAAAAAAATGCTAGTGTCTTTGATTAAAAGCTTGCTTGTTTAGTCTGTCTCTTACCTTTTGTTTATAGCTGACCACCTTAATTAGAGCTTGATAACACAAATGACAAAGTTTAATTTATAGCATGTGTAGTAGCAGACATTCACCTCCGGATGGCGACAGTCATTGCTTCTGAGGAGCAGGCACATGGGCAGATCACCTCAGGTCGCAGCCCACGTGCCTGAAACACATTGAGGAAGGCGTCGCAGGATGATATCGACCCTGTGGTAACACACACACAGTCAGTCTGATGCACACGCAACCAAACATCCCTAGCAGACAATATAGTGTCTTGTACCTCTGAGACACGTCTATGCAGATGTACTCACAGGGGTTAGCGCCATCTGCCACGATCAGCATCCGTAGTGAGCTCAGACTGATGTCTCTCTGGTCTCTCTGGGCCAGCAGAGACCAGTGCATGTCCCTCGACTTCACCACCGCTACCCGCGCTGCGCAGGGGACGCAAACACAAAGAGAATCTCTGATGCAAGCTCCTCTTTCATCCAACCTGACAGCCAACCGCATGTCATAAAATCTGACAGGGTGTACCGACTCTGGTGCCAACAGGTAACTCAGTAAAGGTCAAACCACACAGAGGGGAATTTTATTCAACTCAGTAGAAGTTTTTTCTTTCATCCTTCATCGTTGGGAGGACAACAGTAAGGCAACACACAGAAACTGTTTATTTGTTTTTCTTTTTACAAGTTTAACTGAATTTAGACACATTTTAAGGGAGACCATTTGCTCACCTTTGTACATGTGAACCTTCTGTATCCAGGACAGAGGGTTGACTTTCATCAAGGAGTAGGGAATGCTGATCACGTGCATCCGATTCATGACGCTCTGCCAGGAGAGCAAAAAGGCATCAGATAAGCTACAACACATGTACCAGATGCATCAAAATGACTGAACATGATGTCACTGGAAACCAGATTTTATCATTCAGAGCAGCAGAGTTGTGTGTTGGTGATTGCGATTTGCCAGAGAAGGAATCCGGATATGTCACAGCAAGTCGACTATAAATAGTGCCTAATACACCCTGCATGTTTGAAACCAATCAGAGCTGCGTCAGTGTGTTAAAGGAGGCAGATTTCTATGAGATGAGATGGTATTCTCCTTTAGGACTATTAGCCTGCATCATTTGCATGCTGATGAAGATCTACCAGGCCAGTCGGGTGAATATATCACATATTTCATCAGCAATTTGAGAACATGCTCCTTTTCTCACTTTGCTACTAACGCTATTAATCCTGAACTTTTTTAGACACTTAAATAATAATGAAGCAGGTTATTGAGCCATGCTTTAACTCAAACATAAACATGGAGAGAACTGTTAAAATCACAGCTTCTAAATGTGAAAAAGATCCGATTTGAACAGGTCTCGAAAATGACTGCAAAACCTTATTTAACAGGTAAAAATGAAAAACAGATCAAATCTAAAGTGGTATTTAACAACTTGTCTCAGACAGCTGTATAAAAACCTGGTGGATCCGCTTTTGAACAGTCTAGTAGTTTCATGTTTTTCCTACAGCAGCTCAGAGGTTAGAAGCACTTTGATAACCTTCTCTGCTCCTCTCACTCTTCTCGGCAGACAGTGACTGTCAGCTGAACAACTCCCAAATCAGCAGTCGTTCCTGTGACTGTGTTGATGATAACAAAACTCCTCTGTATTATTATTATTGTCTGATATAGTATTTTATATTCTAGGAAACTGACATTTAGGTTCGTACTATCTCTAATCATGATCATTAAAACTGACAGAAGAAAAATTGAACTATTTCAATCTGTATTCAATGAAACTACACAGGGATTCCACTTTATGGTTTGAATTGCAGAAATAAACTTTTTGATGAGTTTTCAATTTATTGAGCTGCAGCTCCATGCCTGTCTTAATGTCTTTACAAGACATTGTGAAAAACCTACCGTGAGGACACCATGCCATAATCCTGCTTCGCGTTTAAAGTCCAGAACATTCGTGATAGTTTCACCTATAAATCAAAAAGACCAGAAAGAATTAAGTCTAAATTATGAGGATAAACAATATTTGTGACATTTCATCCGACATGCTCAGTCTTCAGTTGCATTCAAAAACAAAAAGAATCTTACTGAAGAAGAAGAGAGCCAAAATTAACTTTTAGAAACAAAATCTGGAGAGTGACTTCAGGCTACCAGTGGAGTTCGGAGTTATTTAGAGCAAAACTGGGACACTGGGAGAAAGGAAGTGCTTCATGTTCTTGTTCTTTTCAAGCAGACCTGATGCAGGTCTGACAGACTGAAACACAACCAGCTGAAAGCAGCATAAATCAAACCGTAATTACACCACAGAGGGTATGTGAGCTGCTGAACGTGAAAGGAGAGGTTTTATGCTACCAAATATATAATGAAATATGTATTCAGTGATGACAATCTGTTATACCTGACCTGCTGTGTCTTTAAGGAAAAGTAGAGCAGTCAGAGCCAATTTATTTTTCACAATATTTACCTTCAACATAATCAGAATTACTTAAGCTGGTTGTAGGTTTACTTGTCTCTCCTCCTAAAATATCCATGTCACAGTAATGAATAAATGATAACAGACCAATAACTCATAGTAAGCAGAGTCCTCCCCACCTTCTGTGTAGCCGCAGGCCTGTGTGAGGGCCTGACAGTGAGCCAGCATGGCTGAATGGGACACGGTTATTCCCATGGTGCTTCCCTCTTTGCTTGTTTTATACTGAATTGAGGAAGCAAAGGAAAAACACAGATAGAAATGTGTTGAAATTTAAAAAGCATGGCTCCTTAACAATTTAACTAGTAAACAAAATTGAATATTATCAAATATTAGCAAAAAAATAAGCAAATAGTATGCTAATTTTGTAATATCAGACATAAAACATCTCTTTTAATAATGCAATTATTGCATTATGTTGTTAAACTGCTCTTACTTCTATATAAGCGATGTCAATGCTGGCTTCCCGTACTGGCGGGTGCCAGTCTTTCGGAGGCTTCACAACATGCTTTCCATCTGTCACGAACCAAAGCAGCCGTGGCCAGCCTGCAGAGACGGAGACACAGAAATCCTTTCCAGCAAAATGAAACTAACACCGCAAAGCAAGTAGAAACAAAAACAAACCAAAGTCGCACCTTTGAAAGTGACAACCTCCCCTGTTTGTGCTTTGGGCAGGCCTTTCTGACAAGCATCAGTGGTCAGTGCCAGCGTGACCCCGCAGCTGCCCAACAGAAAGCCAATCTGCTGACTGCCTGCATCCTGGGATAGCAAAGTGAGAGTTGGTTTCTAACAGGAAAGCTTCGGCTATCCTAACAGTAAAATATTGAGACAGTCAACGCAGCCCAAATTTTAACAAGATAAAGCACATTTTAACAATTTTGATGCATTTTAATGGGACACACAAAATAATAATTGGAAAATGTAACAAAAATGAACAAATGCAAATAATAACAAAAAGTGGTGTGCAGTAATCATGAGCCCCCTTTACAATACTACCATTAACTGTTTGTAATTTGATATTAGTATAAATGCGGCTGTTTATGAAGGTCCCAGATTGTTTTAGTGAACAACATTCATTCAGACAGCTACTTTCACTGAGCTTTGATTTTTCAAAGAAGAATGAGAAAAAGTTTTGCACAGTTGGTAGAGAAAACCGCAGAAGACCTGCAGTTTTTATTGTAAAGCATCATGCTGCTACATCTGGAGCATTGACTCAGGCTGGCTGAGTACAAATGCAACACAATCTTGTCCTTCCGCTATAGAAACATACACCCCTTTGTATTAATCAGAACGCTGAATGTTCCTGAATGTAGGGAATGAAGAAAACTGAGTGACAGCCAACTGCTATTAAAAAAACAAAAAACTAAGCCCCTGATCTAACACACTCATATTAGGTCTGCAAATTATCTTAGCGCAAGAGTCATGCTGGGAAAACTACACAGCTCAGGGGAGGTAAAGAAGTGGGAGAAGAAGAGAGAGAAGGAAAATAGAAGAAAAGAGAGACAGTGCAAAGATAATAATCACAAAGAGAGAAATGACTGAGGGAAACAAAGAGAGGAGGAAGAGTGATCGGTGTTGTCAAAATGAGCCAATGAGGTTTTGGCTCCTGAGAACAGTTGGCCCGTGATCTAATATTTTGACTATAATTATTCTTCTTTTCACCCCACGCACCTTTTATTGATTACAGCCCAGTGTGTGCCAACAGCATGCTCATAAAGGCAATCAAGAACATCAATTACTATTCACCCAGCGTAGCTAATGTGGATGAATTTAGCAAGGTATGTGCTGATGAGTGCGCTGAAGTGGCATCGCATTATGGCGATCTGTAAGCAAACATGTCAGACACTGCGCTGCTGCTGTGGTGAGATAATAACACATAACTGCAAACTACACGCTCCTTAGCCGTATTTAATAACCAAATAAAACAGAAATGATTCCCGTTAAATACTGTAACTGCAGGGCAGTGCACATCTGGGCTTATTCATATCCAGCAGGGGTCAGTGCTGATTTGTAAATACTGACAGAAAGTATGAAAAACACAGACTCAAGAGGTTTTGTTTGTATTTTCTTTCTTTACCTTTCTGGTCAGCGGGACTTCAATAGGCACAGGGACCAGCTCTGCCAGGAGGCAGCCGTAGAAGGCCACCATGAACATCATGGGGTCATTGTTGGGGAAAACGAGCGCAACCTGATGGAGAGGCAAACAAGATGTTGAAAACATGGAAAGGTTAGGGCTTGAGTAGACAACTGATCATCAGTACCACAGTGCCTTTCAAATGTATTCACAGTGTACAAGATTTGTCACATTACAGTGACGAATCTCAATTTATTTACTGGAAATTTGTTATACAGACCAGCACAAATGCAGCGCTTTTTAAATTTGTATTTAAAAAAAAACAAAAAAACATGTATAACTTTTTTTTCCCCCCACGTAACATTCATAAACTACTTTGCCTTGGTCAATCACCTGCTCAGGTTTGTGGCTGTCGTATAAAAGGTGAGAAAGTTAAAGGGGTGTGAATACTTTTGCAAGGCACTGTAAAGCACTGACTGTAGCATCTGTATTGTATCAGTTTATGAAAATGACTTGTTTTCTCTCCCTAAGAAATAGCTAGCATCATAAAGCCATGATAAATATTAGGTTTTAGTTGGCAGTCGATGTGCTTAGTTAAACACAAAGATTGGAAATAGAAGAAACACCAAACCAATGTTTATGTGAGGTTTGGCATCTATTCATGCATAAACCCCAGAAATGCTATCTTTCCAGCAGTACACTCACTTTGGAGTTTGATAGATTCTGAAATGTTTAAACGATTCTCTGGCTGCAAAGATTACCCATGGCATTTTGAGCATTTCATGCTCATCAAATACATTAGTTATTTCAAGTAGACGTGATTGGATAAATAGCTTTGCATCTTTTCAGAAATGAGCACACAGCTGGATCTCATGACTTACTCTGTCTCCAGGCATTAGCAAAGGCTCATTTCTGCTGCTCAGCTTGTTTAGCAAAGTGTAGGCCAGTTTCTGACTGCGGGTCCAAAGTTTGCCTGCACGAATTAATGCACACCATCAAATACACGTAAAGCATAAGTTCATAAAGAAGAGCTGGTACAGTTTTATATTCTTTACTCCACTGCCGGGCTCGTTCTCCACAGGTTTATGCCTACCGTAGGTGAGTGTGTAGACGGGCTTGCCGGCGTTATCGAGTGCTGTCAGACAGGGGTTCTTTGGATGAGTGGTGGCCCACCTTTGCAGGGCTGCTGGCAGAGAAGGAGGCCAGTTGGTGGCCACCCCGAGAGGCTCTCCCTCCAGGGGGCTCATCTGCTGGCCCTCTGGCCTGGGCTGGTTGGGATCGGGCTGCTGGACTAAAAACAGAGGAAAGAGCATCTTTCTGAGAGGGTGGATTAGTGGATATTCTGAGTATCAGAGCAGAACTAGGCCCTGAGCTGTTTTCAAATCTAACAACCATGTTAGGAGAAAGTGACACAGAAACAGATGGGATTAAACGACAGTGTGTGAGGGAAATGAAGGATGAGAAGTTTTCACAACCATGTATTTATTTATTTATTTTTTACCTTTCAGAGGTTTTAACTGCTTGGGGTGAAAGAATAATACCAGTTAAATTCAATCTTACTGGCAAGTCAGAGCTTTTAAGCAGAGCTTGCAGGTGAAGATTCTTGCCAAATAAAACGATTTTGTTTGGAATAAAATGTGTTCAGTCTGCTGCTGTTTTACCTCTGTGTGTTTTTCTGCTCACAGTAAGCGGATCACCACAGCATCTGTGCCAGAACCAGCCAGCCTTTACAAATACCTGCTGATGAGTTGCTGCTCCAGACAGATTTTCATCTAGACAATGTTTATTCAAGGTGGCAGAGGACCACCCAAAGCACCATGCCAGGAATGTAGGAAATAGATGGACTGGGCTGGTCGTCTGTTTTCGCTCATTTCTTGCCTAATAAGTCCTTCGTGCCGAGTGATCTCAACTGCAAATAAGATCAAAAAACTGAAAGTGCTCAATTTTGAGATTCTTAAGGCATGACTACTTCAGAAACCTTTTCCAGTAATCTGGGTACTTTTCCCAGGTCATCCTTAAACCTGTAACCTGTTATCTTATAAAACAGATTTATAAGACAGAAATTTACCCCAGAATCTACAATTGTGAGCAGTCGTACTTTTGTTGCTACCCTGAACCTTCCAAATGTAGTTTTGTGAAGGAAAGAAAGCCAAACTTGCCAAATTGCTTGATTATTCTATGCATTATATGTCAGTAATTCCAGTTTTTTAAATTGATCTACAGTTCATATTTTTAAAGATCATATAGCCAAAAAAAAAAAAAAACACACAAACATTGTAAGTAAGCATATACGACTCACAATAAGCCATCTCCCTTGTTTTATCAAAGAATACACATTTTAACAAAAGGAGCCTTTTTATTACAGCCAGTAAAGCAGAAGGCCACAACACATTTGGTCTGAAATGGCACCGTCTGGAAATATCTAATGATAACCAGAGGAGTAATTCTTTCCTTGACAGGAACATGTTGAATGGATCCATGCTCGCTTATTGGCAACACAGAAAAAGAATGAAGTTTGCACAAAAGATAATCTCTGGAGGAAATGTGAAAGAGCTCTGTGGAAATAAACAGGTGGAACAGATGGATTCCTCCTCAGCCAATAAAAACAATTAAAAAAAAAACAACTGAAATCTTGGATTTAAGGGGAGGAACAATGCAAACTTGAGGGAGGGTGACAAGATGGTTCATGCCACAACTATTCATCTCGAGCGGGGTGCAAACAGCCTGACCACCAAGAGGAGCTCTTTGTGAGCATAAGGTTTCTAAAACCATATGCTTTCTTTGACAGCAGTTTTTACCTTTTGTGTTCTCATTCAAAACTAAATATCTGCTGATGTCCAGAGAGCGTTAAATTAATACCCTCTTCTCTAAAGACGATCCTCCTGTTTTTTGCCACGATAGCTTCAGCTGCAAAATCTACTTTTCTGTGAAGAAGAGTGTGTTTTAAGGCAGCTGCAGTATGACTACAAAATATCAGTTGTTTAGATGACAGTTTTTAAGAGTAATGTGCTTATGCATCGCTGTTTAGATCATAGTAGAAATGCTGGTCAGAACCAGAATTTGTATATTTGAATGCTACCTGGATTTTAGTGCTAAGAGGTTACACTGGGTTTACAACAGAATGCTTTTAAATCAGACCATAGGGTGCTGGTTTGTTAGCTCTCCAAGCTACTGCTCTAAGCCAAAATGTGTCTTCACTTCGCTCTCCTCACTGGAAATAACATAATCTTCACTCCATGTGCTTTGATTTACTCCCACCACATACATGTCCATTGTGGACATTGTTTTATATACCAATGTTCCAATTTGTTAAACACAATATTATCACTCTTTCATGACTTTGGCTGCATTTTTAGATGATCTGTACTAGTTTTTTTTTTTTTTGCATTTTACGTATTTCTGCAAGCAGTAATTATAGGAGAAACAAGCTTCTAAGAGTAATTGGTTCTGAATGGTAGTGGGAATGAATACAACAAACAGTCCAAGGAGATTAAGTGTTCCTAAAAGATATGAAGGATATAATTTCAGGGAAGCATAATGGGGAAAAAAAATCCTTAAGTGAGGTAACTATTTGGACTAGAGATGTAAAACTTGACGAAGAATTATAGGTCAAGAATCAAATTAATAGGCTGGAAAAAATAGTTTCTCAAGATTTGGTTAGTAGCAAAAACAATTACTTTTAGGTCATCTTACCATCTAAAAGCTCCTCGAAGTCGTCAACAAAGAATTCACGTAATGGTGGACGCTTTGGTCTCTTTAATGTATTGAGCAGCTGCTGGATTTTGTTGGAGACACGACTGTTGACAGGAACACCTATAAAATGAGTTTGAAGGGAGTGAGAGGTAAGAAGCGAGGGTAGACGCAAACAAGGCAAAGCAGAAATGTGACGGGAAACGAGCATGAAATACAAAAACAAGGAGGGATGTTGCAGTGGTGGGATGTGTAGATGCGCAGATTGATGAAGCAATGAGAAGAGCATAGATAGGGGGAAAGGTCAGCCTGGTGGTATGGTGCAATTTAGAGGACAATGAGCTGTCACACTGGAGCATGACAACAAAACAAGAGGAACCGACACCTGGAGGTCAAACATTCAGCCAGGAATCTCTAAAAATACGAGTAAACCTCACAGAAAAATAAATGTAAAAACAGCGCGCCACCTCCTGCTGCCTAGCAACACAGATGTCCTCTCTGTGGCATGTAAATTATAAAATGTCTATAAAGGTGTCCTTATTACACACACAGAAACAGATCACAATCAGTAGATCATTAGTTTGAATGTACATAAAAAAATACACGTGTATGCTTTTCACATGGTATACATGACCACACTTTAAAATCAGATGTAAGAGCAGGCAAAGCACAGAGACAACAGACTGAATACAAATGAGGACTGATGTCCTGTTAGATTTTCTTCAAGTACTGCTTGGTCTCAGACTAGATTTATCAGACAATACGTTCACCATTTAATTTCACCCTTAAATTATGAAAATGCTAGACATTCCAGACAGCCAAGGGAGCTGAAAGCCACAGCTGTACGCAGCATGCTGCATCTATCTTATAATAAAAGCCCAGAGTAAGACAGATGCTGCCTCCTTATGTGGGCACAGATGTACTGGGAGTTAATGTGTGGGGGTCAGCAGCCCCTGATTGGCCAATTAGGAAGTCCTGATGCTCACGGGACATAAATCCCACCAATTAATGAGCCCTGATCACTAATATCAAAGCCAACCAGGACCCATCTATTAAAGCACTATAATTAATCTGTATATGACTTTGGTGATTTATGCCTCCAGGACTGGTTTTGGCTTAAAGTAAAGGAAAATGTGACATCTTTCAACAGAAACTTTTTATTGCATAAACTAACAAACCCAATGTATAATAAAGATGCATTTAAGGAATAACAACTGTGTTCTGCTATATTTCAATTGCTGCTAACAAACCCAAATAAACCAACATGTGTTACTTCCATCTGTCAGAAATATTTCAAGGTCCTGACCGTGTCTGCGGGTCTGAGCCACAAGACTGTTCCAACCACTTCTGACACAAAAATGGCTCATAAATACATAGTTTCATTTTCCCCATATTTGTTGGTGCAGATAGGTTTTCTAGTTTTCACAGTATATTCAAACAGAAGACGTCTGATTTGTGTAGGTGCATTTGATGCGTAGACCATTTTCAGCCAGGGATTATAATTATACTAAAACCGCAGTGCCCCCAGGTTGTAATTAAAATGCAGCATTGTTCCAATTTGGAAATGTTTATTATGGTTCCAATTGAAACCAAGGGCATAAATTAATAAAATAATTGAATATTTCACAGCTGTTTTTAGTATTTTCTACTAGAAAGCTGAACACATATAAAAAACAAATCCGTCCTTGAAACATTTGGACTAAAGAGGGAAGGAAAATAAGATCAAAATGGATATGGATTTGTTGGCATACCAAACAACAGGCAAGAGGCACTTTCTTTGTTGTTTCAGGCCAATCCGTTTGTGTAGCATTTATTGCTAAAAAGATCAAGCTTGTGGTGTGCCCAATTTGTCCTGCCAGTCAGAGCTCTGATCTCCGAATGACGTCACACCCAAGTTAAGCCTGTTCTAGTTGCAAGTCGGAAAAGCACAAAGATATGCTATTTGTTGTGGTGCTAAGCATATTCAGCAATATAAGCCGATTGTGCCATAACAATGTACAATATTTCTCTCAGTAGTATGTGACGTATCTGAAGAGTGCTACTCACCACTGGTTTAAACAGTTTAAACCAGTGGTTTAAACAGTTTAAACCAGTGGTTTAAATAGACAAACTGTCAAAAGTGCTAATAAACAGTTTATACCTGCAATTTTCACTACATTATTAAATCCACAAGACCCACATTGGATCCAGAGCCAGAGACCACTCAGAGACTTTCTTAATCAGCATTTTAACTTCTAGAAGCTTTACTTATGACTGACAACAGAAAAATCCAATTTCTGAGCATAAAGATGACGCACTATTAGTCTCATATGTCTAAAACAAATGCTTCCAGTAGAATTAAGAAGGCTCCACATGTTTATATTTGGCATGGTAGGATAAAAAAAAGTTTCCCTCCCAAACAACCATTTGACATGCAGGCAGCACCTGGAGGAGACTTGGTGATCCAAAGAGGATGTTCTTTGCTGCCTTTCTGTGAAGATCAGCTCCAAATATTTTATTTACCTCCCTTGCCATCCTGCTCACTGTGTGTAGTAGAAACATAAATATGTGTCCTCATCCAATAGAAACTGGTCAGATGTCATATTTAAACCAAAGAACCGCTGAAAAGCTACTGATAAGTAAGACGTTCCTAGAAAGTCAACTTAAAAGTTAAAGCATAATTGGAAAAAAAAATGCTTGGTTACCAATAATTGTGCCACATATAATCTTTTTTTTTATTTCATTTTCCCACTGAATACATTTTCAGTTTCAAATTGTTCTACTGCAGTAAAACATTGATTTAAATGTAGACTTGTTACAAACCCCAACTAGCGAGTGCAGAAAGACTGAACTCAATGTGTGGCTAATGAATGAGTTTTAAAATGGAAGCAGTGACTGACAGCCGCCCTCGCTGAAGCATCTGCAGAGCTACAGGCTAACCGGCTGGTGTCACACATTGCGGTGAGCTTTATCACTTTGAGCGAAGAAACCAGAATGCCAATATGTTAAATATTCACAAGGCCAGATGACCAGTTACATCTGTTTACACTGTCTTCTTCTGCAGAAATCAGCTGGGTTAGACGAGGCTAAAAACACAGTCAAGGGAGCACACTGTATTCCACACTTCAGCTTTTCAAATGCTTTTACAAAGCAAAGCGGCAACCTAACAGCAGAGGCAAAGGCAGAACCACAAAAACACACACACACACACACACACACACACGCACGCACGCACAAATACACAAGCAGCTTAGTGCTCAAACACCAGCCTGCCACAGAACTGGAGGAACAATTATAAATACCATCGATTAAAGTCAGGGATCCGTCACCTCCCCACTCACAGCCTGGAGGAGAGACATATCAACGTGTCAGTGAAACAATCCTACCAAGCTTCTGTGCTTGAATGTGTGAGAAATCTACTGGCTGCTTCGCAGAGGTTAGACTGTGATAGCAAACAACAGAAGGAGAAAACATGGCAATGAATACGTCTTATGAATGCACTCATTGAACAGCTACCTTCACTGCAGAGCACCGGGTGGGTGAAGTGATGTTTAGTATTTGTTAGCAGATAGTCTGCATCGGTAGAGTGAGGCTCTGCTGACTCTGTGCTGTGGTTTATAAGTTGTCATGTTATTAAAATGCTGATGAATGACTAACAGAAAGAAGAAAGGAATGACAGGAGGATGATGGGTCCATTTTCACTATTTGACAGGGTTGACATTTTCTGAAGAAAACATTGTTTTACTTTAATTCTCCTTGCTTTTTTTTTAAGATGGATACAGTTTGTTACATATTATTGATATGAATCCTAAAAACACTGCAACAGCATTATGTACATTGCTTGCTAATAAACACAGATGTTTTACACAGACAGACACCATCCTCTGTTTGTAAGAGAGTTATACCTTTAAGTGCTTTGAGAAAGTGTTAATAATCCTTGAGTGTTTTAACACTCAAGGATTATTCAATGAGATCTCATTTGATAGACCATCACAATTAGTCAAGAATTGCAAAGTGTGTGTGTGTGTGTGTGTGTGGGGGGGGGTCATAGTTTTCAAGAATTTAAAACCTAAATCCACTTGGGAATATTTGGCAAAACGTGAAACTTCATTGGAAACGATGTTCTCTGTCCAATCTGACTGCAAAGAAGAATGAGCAAAAATTCAGTCTCTAGATTAGTGACTCTATAAAACAATGACTCAGGGGGGGGGCTGAATGCATGCCACACTTTTCAGTTTTTGAATCACAAAAATATGAATATGATCAGAAAATCAGTATCCTTTACTTCTTTTCACTTCACAATTATACTCTACTGTTTTGGTCTATCACCGAAAACAATACTGAATGCAACATATAGCACTTTAAAAACAGGTTTAAAACTGCAGCATAGTGCTGTACAAAAAATGATAACAAAATAAGTTGATGGAAAAAAAAAGTGACCAAATGTAGAAAACCTAAAAGAGTATGTATGCTGTGGAAAGTACTATTTATTTAAGCAGCACATCAAAAGATGCACATTAACAGTGATTAGTACATACAACACTAACACGAATAATTAGCTACTCTTGCATCACATCATAATTTTCTATTTAAAGCACTGACTCAGTTTCGATTGACAAAGATTTTGCTCAAAGTCCCTTAATTGTCTGTTTAAAAAGAAATTATTTCCTTCTGCTGATAATCATAATTACCTCGCCTTGGTTAGGCGAGGTAATTATGATTACCTCGCCTAACCAAGGCGAGGTAATCATTAGTAACAATATTTGCAGATAAATATTGTTACAATATTAGTAACAATATTATTAGTAACAATATTTGCAGATAAAATTGCTGTGACGTTTCCAGAGGGATTGGAGAGGCTGTTACCATGACACAGTGAGAGGGTCAGCTAGCGGGGTCAGTTGTGCCTGTCAGAAAAGCCGACGGGTGGAGGGCTGGACAGAGGGACAGACAGCAGGGAGGAGATGCTCTGTGTGTGCGAGTGAGACTGAGGAGGAAGAAACTCACCATCTGCGGTCTCCATCATGCTGGCATGGTGGTTGTAGCTGCGGGAAACGCCTCGCACCGAGCCCACCTGGGGCCGCTCCAGGTGAATCGAGGAGCGCTCGGACAACCCCGTCACGTCGGGGGGTGCTGAGTGGTTATCTGCGATGAGTGGGGTGTCTGGGGTTAAAAGGTCAGCCTGTATTTTGGGCTGTCATCATGAAACACTCTGTCCTAACACATTTGTGTTTTGACAGAACCTAGAGGCTGTAATGATGATTCATTTTAAGATGCGACTCCTCAGAAGATCAGGAGAGGATGACAGCTTTATTGAAGGATTTTTTAGCTGAACGTTTAGGCTGATCAGAAAACAAAGAACATGATCATTCAGTGTTCAAATGACTCTCTTTAACATATTAAAGTTTAACATTTGCTCAACAAAGGACCTCCATTTCTGAACAAACTCTTTGTCTTGGTGACTTGTGATGCACCAAGCTGTCAGGCAGAGATTGAAATAGGCCAATTTTTCCTTCATCAAATCTTGAAAAATCTTTTTTATGCATCAATTAAAAGCATCAAAACATAAAACCGCTTCTTTTTTGAGCTGCAAACAGATCAACAGCATGTTTTGTGATGCGTTTACATTGAAATGAAATAAAGATTTGGGACAATTAGTTTAGTTCTAACACAGACTTCACATTTGATTTGATTTGATTTATTTTATTAACATTTCCCAGCCAGGTATAAATAGTGGGAAAAAATACCTAAAATCACATGTCCGTGGACATTATTACAGCCTTATTGCTAATTAAGAAATGTCAATAAGTTTTGCAAGTATCAACATACTTTTACTTCAATATATGAACCCAATGTTATCTATTTAAAATGATTAATACAACTAATTGCTACTGTTTCTAGATAATGTTAATAATTAGTAGAGACTAGGCAATTTAAAAATACCGTTTGTAATCTGGTTCCAAATCCCTGTGTAAGTGCTACATCTTTAAAACTCTTTTGTTTTGTTTTTTCCCCCACATATGCACAGCAGTCCTGAAACATCTTAGAGATGATCCAGAGGGGTGGAATGTGGGAATACACATGGCTACGGGATTGGCCCCAGGCCTCTTGTTGGTATTTTCCACCAGACCGCAGAGAAAAATGTGTGGAAGATGAGGAGGGAAGAGACAACCTCCAAACATAGCAGCAAGTCTTTAGAACTATTTACTGTGGCAAAAGTGCATGCTGATAAGTCACAGCTTATTGCTTTTATCTGCTGACCTATATTTCCACTTAGAAAAATAGTCATGAGCCTAGTATTTTGATTAAAATGAAGCATGTTTCCAAAGTGTGAAATTAAGACTCTTGTTCTGTCTCTTCTACATATTTCTGGCTCAGTGAGGGGTGTCCAGAAGAAAATCTCCAGCTGTTAAAAGTACGTGTGGCCAACCACGGCACAAAAATCACATAACTTGTGGTCTTGTCAGGAAAAATAGTTAAAAAATGTAGTTAAATTAGGTCAAAATAAAATGGATTGATAAAATAAATAAAAAAATGTAGGTTTTGAGGTTGAACTGAGGTATTAAACAGATCTTTTTGTTTTTCCAAGTGTTGTGGTGTAATAAAATAAGAATGAAAATAAATTGATGGTGTGTCTCAATGGTTATGAGTCCAAAACAACTGCATCATCAGCATTTCTCTTGCGAGATGTGCCTTAAAACCCACAAATCCTGCTTCTTGTGCATTTCCATCCAACACAACTTTCAGCTGCTGCCTTCCTGTGATGGTATATCAGCAGTAAGTGTCTCGTGGAAAGGTGAGTGATACACATACTGAGTATTTAAGGGGGGAGAAGGAGCACGCTAACATTGGAAATTTATTTACAGCTTCAAACAGCAGCAACCACTCTGGCTACTTTATGACACAAGCAACCTTGAGCAGGAGAAGACGGCTTTATCGTGATAGAATATGGCCGAGCACAGAGTCACACCGGCAAACACACAGACGAGGTCAGAAGAAACCAGATTGTGAAGAAACACTGACAGCGATAAATATAGTGAATCTCCTTAAACAGCTCTGTTATGGCAACCAGAGCAAGCTGATTTGGATTTGGCTGTGATACGACAGAGAGCTTCTTCACATGACTAACAGTTAGACAGTGGTCACTAATTTGAAAGATGTGATTTAAGCCCGTCACACAATAACTCAACATGAAGATTTTTACCTTTCTCGTGTTTTAAAAAAAAGTGCTGACTAACCCAACAAACTTCAATTAAAAGGACTTCTTAAATGAAGTCTTTTACAATTGTGCATTCATTGCTTTACAAACATATGAATATTCCTTCCTATATTCATGTTACAACCACAAACTTCAGTGTGTTTTATTTGGATTTTTGGAAGCAGGCAAGTCTCACAACTTTCTGACCTACATACTGAAACATGTGTGTGGCGAAAACACTAATTTTATGGTGAATCACAGTGGTAGCAACATCCCAGCAGGGCAACAAACATAAAAATCCACCCAGACTTACAGTAGGAAGAGTTTGTGGCCTAGTTGAAGTCCAGACCAAAATCTAACTGAAATTCTTGAAGATGGATTATCACAATCTCAATCTAACCTGACTGAACTCAAGCTGTTTTGCAATGAAGAATGGGCAGAAATGTTTGGTCTCCGTTGTGTAAACATTGCTTTGTGTTGGCATAAAATCCCAGTAAAACACACTGAAATTTGAATGTGTTATGGTCCAAGCAATACTTTGCAAATCACCGTATGTGTGTGTCGCCGCATCTGCGGAAATAAACACTGAGATATGAGACTGACCCAGCTGGGTGTGTGCCATGAGGTCTGCTAGCGCGGTCGCAGTGGCGTTGGCGTTGAGGGCAGCGTGAGCGGCGCTGTTGGTGACAGATCTGCCTCCTGGGTGGGATGAGGTGGATGAGGCTGAGGAGGAGGTGGACGAGCCCTGGATGACCCGGTTGAACCAGTGCTCGACTGCTGCGTGGCTGTGACCCTGATAGGGCGTGGATGTGGCTAGGCGTCCCTGCCGTCGCAGTGAGCCCTCATCTTCTGACGCTGAGGAGGTGTCTGCGTTGAGGAAGTCAAAACAGAGCCGAGTCAGAAGAGCAGGAAAGAAAAAAGAAGGAGAAGAAAAAAAAACACCATCCATGCAGTCATGAGGGGAAAATGGAGGAAGATGAAATGGGATGCCAACTGGCTTTTTGCAGGAATCTAATGACTTTCAGTTAAAAGTTTATAAAAAAAAAAACAAAAATATTTGACTTATTGGGTCTCTGTGTAGTGCAGAGGGTAGAGGTCACAGTAGGTAAAGGTCACTGATTAAAAAAAAAAAAAAAAACTAATTTAAGAATAATCTTTTTCCTGTTTGAGAACAATGCCAGGTCCTGGTAACAATCTTTGGCGTGAATCACTGAGTAAAGACAGTTCATGTTCGATATCAGGAAGGTGTTTCACATCACATCTTCTTTCCACTGAGCTGCGTGGAACAGATCAGTTCGGTTCATGACGCCATTTTGTTTGTTTTAAAAGCAGCTCATACAACCGACACTTACCGCACCATTCCTGGTCCTCCCTTCAGATGAGCTAACACAAAAAACAAGTGTCTAGGTACGGGCTTTACTTCCTTATTGAAAAAACTGGAAGAACAGTCCAATACTATTTTGCTATAGAATACATTTATGAACAAAATACATGAGGGCATACAAGTTCAGCTTAAAAAAAAAAAACATAAGTTGAGTTAAATCAAAGCCAGTTTCTGTGTTTAGAGGCTACAGTGAACAGTTGGTCTCATCAAAAATAAACAGGAAAAGCTTCAAAGCAACATCAGGATAATTCAGAATGAATACATTCATTTTCATCTTCCAAACACATCTCTGCTTCAAATGTTTTTCACATAGATTGAAAAACAGAAGGGCTTCTTTTGACTGATGTTCTGCAGACATGAGTTCAACAAAAGGACTAAGCAATAGGAAAAAAAAAGATTTTAAAAAGTTTTAAAAGCCATTCCTATTTCTATGTGAAAACGAGGGCAGGTTTTAAAGACAAATACAAAAATCCTTCAAACATCTTAAAATATTAGATGAAATGCTTTGTTATGCTGTGCATAACAAAGCATTAATGAATTACAAAAACTGCCCACAGAGAGCGAGAGACAGGCATTAAGAGAACAGAAGGGTTTAGAAGACGGATTTCGACCCTGTGTGTGATCAGCACATGCCTGATGGATATTTCTTCTCCTAAAACGACTTCAGATGATTATTCTTTCTAATCACCCACAGAATGTATTAACAAGACAAGTCCACCAGCTGAGACACTATTAAGAACCACTGCTGCTCGCTTTAAGCTGATATTTGGTTTTGTCGAGGCTGTCAGAAGAGGGACGGAGGAGGTGGAATTAGAATGAACCAATTTAATGTCTGTACCATCGCACGGCTCATGCGGGTTATCTCACATTTATGATTCTGTTTGTTATCCCTCTGCCCGTCTCTGCTCTCTCTCACTCTCCAGTAACTTTGACACAGTTAGGCGAGCGAGGGAGGGAAGGAGAGGGTCAGGGAATAAATTTAAAGTAGAAAGAGGGAGGCTGAAGGAAGAAGGCGTATATATCACCAGGAGACAACATTATGTACAGAGAGAAAGTGTCTGGGTCAGGTAGACAGGGTTGTAGAAGCAGACATAAGTACATACAATAAAAAAGGAGGTAAAACAGACGATAACCGAGACCTCAGTTATTGCACCAGTGGTATATGTCTTCCCGCAAACAAACAGCAAAACAGTAAAACTCCTATCTGGTGGTAAACAATGCCAGAGGAAGCACCTCTAAGAAAATGGGAGCATCACTGAAAATATGTGCAAAAATTAACATTCAGTTTCCTTATAATGATAATTTCAATCTTTCTTAAGCTGAATGCACCTGGTTAAGAAATATAGATCATCTGCACGACTATTTTTCCCATCCCAACAGGAAATGAAATGATGTAGAAACCGAAATTATCCAAGTTACTCTAAAGAGTCACTGTAGATGGTTATGCTGCTGCACAATGATGCAACAGCAGTATGTAGTCAGAAAGATACTGAGGAGAAAATTGATTAGGGTTGAAATATTTACATTTATTTATCAAACATTTATTTATTGGAAATCTATGCGCACAGAGATTGCTCTTTTTATACTCATTGCGCTAATTGCTAATATAAAATTCTAAAGAAAGTCTAATATGTTTTCTCCAAAACCGGTTTTGATTAACAAAACTTTGATTTGAGCCTGTTTTCTCACATGGTGATGTGATGTCACCTTTGGTCCTGATATAAATTAAAACTAATTTCTTATCATGAAAGGAAGGCTAAAAAAAATACTTCAAATGCTCCTCTAATGCCTCTTTGTGTATCAGTTCTTAAATGGTAACACATAATCAATATTGAAGGGTCAAAGCTTCGGGAAAACCTGAAATTGTGAAACCAGACACAACACTATGATGGATGCATGTTTAATTTAAACTAAACATGTTGCCACAATTTCTGTTTATGATCTGGGCACAGGAGGATAAACTGAATCCAATGAATAGGAACACGGCTGCTATCACAACTAAACTTGGCGGGAGCACTCATACAACCTTGTTTGATGCAAATTTACTCCTGAAATTCTTAGACTCATGGCCATCACAGAGGACAGGAGGATTTCAGAGGTATTGTCCAGCTTGTCAAGAACACCTTAGTCGTAAAGTATGCTCTTGATTTTGTAATCAAACCCACATACCTCAATGGAGAACAATAAAAACTCCAGAGTTGAAGAATCTTTGAAGACATTCACTCTTTCTTTTCACTGTTGAAGATCTTCGTCTGGTTACTTGTTCCTCTGTTATGTCCTCTCTTTTAATTTAAGCCTTCATGCTCCAGCTCTCCCCCTCTCCTTCCACCCATACACCAATAATAAAAGGCACATCAGCGTTTGAGACATTTTTAACAAATCAAACGCAAATTGTTCACTGAAGAATTAGAAGAAATATGAAAGCGCCAAGCGGGGCCTTGAAAGCAGAAAGATGTAAGAAGGAAATAAAATATCGAAAACTCAAATGAATTGGCCCACACAATACAAACAGTTATAAAAGCAGGCAAAAGGTCAACATTGAGAGACGAAGTTAAAAATCTGATAACGCCTCCGTGATGCGGCACATGTGGGAAGGTCGGCCTGGGAACACGACGTCAAGAACTGAGTCCTTTGTAGTCACAAAGAATGAACACATTCATCAAACTACACACTTTCTTTCCAGAGGCAAATGCTTGGCAACATCTTTATTAATCACTAGAGCAAATCAGGGTCACCATCCCACACTCCAGTGCTCATGGGATTGATGAAGCTCCAGCGAGAACACGGATCTCAAACATGAGGAGTTCACTTTAGCGCAGGTAAAGGTGGAGAAGGAGACTCACCAGGTGGGGTGCACGCCTCGACTGAAGACTGAACTAATACAGATCGTCTCTTCGAGGGCATTGGCATTTTCCTCTCTTTGTACTTTGCCAAAGCAGCTTGGACGGCCTCTGTGTGCAGATCTACGGAAAGGTAGTTGTTTTAGGTGATTGAAGAAAAGAAACAGTCAACATTTTGATTTTTCAGAGATTGAGCTTTTTTTTGTTTGTGTGTTTTGTTCTTACCAGATCTGAAGCGCTCATCACGGGCATTGCCAGCCCGGGACTTGTTGTGTTTGGAAACTGGTAGAACAACTTGGGAGGAGGCCTGGATCCTGTTGTCAATTTGCAAAGATGGATCTACGCCTGCAGACAAAACAGAACTGAAATTTACAGAAAGAAACAAATCATCAATTGAATAACGTTACATTAATCAATTTACTGAATGTCCCCTTAATGGAATTGAGTGTGCCAATTATTTTTCAGCCAGATCTATTTTTCGTTATATAAATGTAATCCTTTAATACTTAGTCTGCTTTCTTTGCATTTATCAATTTGAAAATTAGAAAGTATTTGACTCAACCAGTCTCTCTTACAGTTTTAAAAACTAAACCAAAGTTTTCCAAATAAAGTAAAAGCAGATTTCACAGAGGTACCTGAAAGGAGATGATTAGATACCAAGAGTGTCAAGAAGGAGCACACATTAAATATGTACTAATTAGCATCAGAGGTGAAACCTAAAACCACCGTTTCAACACCAATCTCCCAATCACTGGCTTCACTTCTTCTGTGGCTAAAGTGTTCACACACTTTGAACATGCTGCATCATTCCACACTCGATGGAAACAATGACCTTCAGTGTATTTTACTGGGATTTTATTTTAACTTTTCTTTAACACATGAATATCTGAAAAGTGAAGCTTTATCACTGACCTGCTTTCTTATTGTAGAGTTCATTTTTGTAACCCCTATTTCTTTACAGCACAGACTTTCTCTTCCTTTAAATATAAAAACCAAGTCACAATTAGCATTTGGCAGCTTTCTTGTAAACCATTAAGCCTACAGCATATTGAATTTACCTAGCTGGCCTATCATTCATTCATTCATTCATCCATTCATCCATCCATCCATCTAAATGAGGATCAATGATTTCTACATGGTCAGCGACTCTCAGAGAGCAGCATTAGACACACAGCAGAGCTAATTGCATAATTCAATTAAAAGTACACTTCTGATTTTGTCAAATGAGCATTAAACATATGAGATACAACACTGAAAACATAAAACATTTATGGAATGACACTGTGTGTTTGCCATTCGGTGTATGCCTTCACACATTAACATATGCCCCTCCGTCGCTCTGACAGTCCGGTCACACAACAGCCTTTCCGCATCTCCCGAAGGGAAACAGGTCCATAAAGCAAGCCAGGACGGTAGACCCGGTTGCTGGGCAGAACACCCCACCCAGAAACACAACACTCAGCCAATCAGGGGTCTGCTCAGTCACAGCAGATGTCTTCATTGGTTCTCAGCGCACACTGATGAATTTATATCACCTGTCTCAAGACAGCACTTGGTTACTGCTGTGAGTCATAATGATGCATGTCTGTGTATCACCTCCTACATACCAAATATGACTGGTTTATGACAAAAATCGAGTAAGAAGTTGCAGTCACACAAAAAAAGCTACCTTGATGAAATCAATGTGGTTTATGTCGCTAACTGTAAAGTGATAGCTTTAAAGACATGCTTGAGAAGCATAAAGCAAATTTATGCTCTTAAAGGTTTATTCCTCAGTAATCAAATGGAATATTTGGTTTTATTCAAGGTAGTGTCAGCAGTTATTGAAATCCATGATCAGCAGGAGATTATTAAAAACTCCTAAGATCAATGCAAACTATAGTCTCTACCTTTTACAGATAAAAAAAGGCCTTCGGATGTTATTTTGAGTAATGGAAAAGCAACTCAAATATTACTTAGTATTTAATTTTGACTAATATATAATATCAACTTCCTTCTGACTTTTCTGAAAGTTAAGTTATATGCTCTTGGATGTGGTTGTACAATGAAAAGTTACATACTTCAATATACTAGAAACAACCTTACAATTTCTATCTGAAACTTTAAAACAAAAACCATAAAGGCACCTGATTGGTATTTTTTTTTTCCAGTATTGTAAATCTAAAAATCCCAGGAATTCAAGAAATAGTCATCCCTCTGCATGCAAAAGGAAAATATTTTTCTGATCTAGGCATGTTTCCCCACCAACAGGGAAAGGAGCAACAGAAGCTCAACTTCCTGATGAAGTTAAAGCGTGCTCACCGCCTGCTGACGAACTTCTATTGGTCAGCAACAACAGAGTGTCCTGACCAACTGTGGTTTGGTTCCCCAGCTGCATAGCAAAATACAGGAAGGTCCTGCAGTGTGCTGGTGAGGTCAGCAGAACATGTCATCCTAACAAAAGCTCCCTCCCATCGAGTTATTTACATTGGGAAACATCAAAAGAAAATCAGTTTTGCTTTTGTAAAAACTAACTCATTCTGGACCCTATTTGGTGAAACATAAAGAATAATCTAAATTTAATATGCAAGGCTTAAAAAATTCAATTGATTTGCCATCAAGTTAATTTCATGCTAGTAGCCCCATAAAACTCTAATGGTGCATAGTGATAGCGACAGTCCTGTGAAGAAGTGTTGGCCTCCTTACAGATTCCTTCTATTTTTGCTTTAATGCCACACTTAGAAGGTTTAGGTTTTCAAAATATCAGAGAAAAGATAACTTAAGTAAACACAAAATGCTGTCATTGATATTATAGATCTGACAAAATTACAAACTGCCTTTTGTATTTACCAAAGTTACTTTTGTCTGATTAAAATTAGTTTGATGATCTGAAACATTTACGTATGACTACTAAAAAAAATACATAATACATTAATAATAAATGTATTAAGTTATGTCAAACAAATATGACAATGAAGTAACTTTAAATTTAAGCAAGTTAAATAATATTTTAAGTTGAATTAATAAAGCGCTCTTATCGTACATTACTACCTTCATTTTGTTTTATTTTTTCAAAATCATCTCATTTTCATCTATTTTGGACATAAGCTGTTTCTGTTTCGTAGCTGTTTATAAAGGTGTTAGTTTTCAAATATGCAAAAAAAATTCTAAAATTGAATCTAGTCAACAACTCTGGATTTTTAAATGTCATAATTCTTTTCAGAGCAATCTTTCAGTTTATTCAAGATTATCTGTTTTTTGAAAGCATGTTTCCAGATATTTTAAAATCTTTTGTTCTTATTAGAATCTTCTGAATTTGAAAGTTTATAAGTTTCTATATCTGCATGTTTCTGTACCTGAAACATGAAGGCTTTTATAAATAACTTTGCATATTCTATTAAGACACAAATTATATATATGGCACATTTCAGAAGTGTGACACATAAAAGCTATTTACAGAAAAACAAACACATACTGAAATATTAAAGGATAACAACAATATCCTGAATAGTTCTCACTCTGTGTCTGTTAAATCTTAACCAGATTATTTGTACTGAAATAGTTTCTTAAGAAATCCAAAACCCATGTGCAAAGTTTCAGGACACATGCTACTGGCTTAAGTTAAACCACTTGGTCTTGGACTCAAAAAGATTAAACAAAGAATCACACAAAACTAACAAAAAGTGATGGATCGGGAGAATGAAGGAAATGATCCACCCAAGCTAAATAACAGTCCTGCTAATTCCAGTGGAAAGCCTGGAGCTGGAAGCCCACAGTAGACTCTGGTTTCCACTCACGCCTGTCGGAGCAGGCCGAACTGAAAACTGTGGGGAGTAGATGGAAGATGGAGCAGTGGTAACTTTTGGGATTCACTTCGAATGCAGGCAGAATCTGCCTCCAAAACAGGGATAAATACACTCCTCTGATATATAAATACTGTTATTATATTGACTGTGACCCATCAAATTAGGTACAATTTATTCCAAAAAAACATTTGTATTACAAGTGCTGGTTTAAAAATCTTTAAACACATAAAGCACATGTTTTTCTCTCATGTCAGTAATGAGAGAATAACATGCTGTGCCACTAATTTCTTCTATCATGTCGTCTTTTTATGCCTGAAAGCTCCTAAAACACTTGTATGTGTTTTATCCTTATAATTTGCACTTTTGTGCATCTAAGGCAGGAGTCAGCAACTCTTTTGGGTAAAAAAGCAACTTATTAAGCATACTAAAGAACTAAGATTTTGAAAGCTGGGTGAGTTAAGCTAAAACACATTTCTAGTTTCACATTTTAGAAAACAAATCATCCAAATTCTACAAAGGAATTAAAATATTTTGTACAAAAAGACCAGCTGAGTAAGACCTTTCTGTCAATATTTGAAATATTAGTGAGTTGCAGATACATCTACAGTCTTTTGTAGCAATGAACAAGTCTTTGACAGCGGTTTACCTGATTTTTTTGACACCTCCTATTGGAAAAGGTAATGTTTGAATGAACAAATTAATGTCTTACCACAAATCTTGGGCTCAAGCTTGGTGTCTCAGAGATCTGGGGAAGCTATATCAGTCTGATTTATCCATTCGAAACCCAGTTTTAAGATCATTTTGATTTTGGAAGACTCATTTGTGTTCAAGTTTCATTCATGTCACCCTATCTGTAGCTTTCACACAAAGGAAACTTGCTAAATATCTTAAAGAAGCACCCAGACTCAAGTCTTTCAGGAACTAGAAACTATTCGATCACTTGTTGTGATATTGTTCACTGTGCAGCAATGAAGGCCCTGCTCCAAAAATCAACAACTTCAAGCACAAATTAAATATGAAGCTAAATGAATATGGTCAAAGGTTTGATGGTCTATTAAGGCAAAGATTTCTCCACACTGACAAGACGTATCTTTGGAGGAATCAAAGTGAAGTTTTAAAACATACGAAATGACAAGCATAGTGGCAGAAGGAGTATGCTAAGGTCCTGATTTATTGTTGGTTTTAGCAGTACATCACAAAAAGTTGATACGGTAGAATGAGAAAGACTCTGTGTCTAAGTTCTTCAACATTTCAGACCAACGTTGAGATGTTTGAAACTTGGTGTTCCAACAGGACAAGGATCTAAATCTAAAACAGATTTAGAATAAAGCAGACTGTCTTTAAACTAATGGAAAGGTCTTTACCTCAACCATATTGGAAATAAGTAGACTGCGCTTAAAGGCCAAACAATTTACATGAGCTACATCAATTCCCTCATGAAGAGTGGTCAAACATCCAGCAGAAAAATGCTGACGGCAACAGAAAGTATGTGGGTTCTCTGCGACCACTTAAAATTACAGAATTATTTTAACTTCCATGCCAATGAAGTGGACATAACCTTTTCACCAACAGTTTAATAGCATTTCAAGCAGTCCCGTAAAATATTCATATGTCACTCACCAAAAACACCAAAATTAAAATGACTACAATCGATGTAGCTTTCTATTTATTTTTGAAAGTTAATTGTTAATCAGAAAAACTGCAATCTCACATATGCTTTCATATCCAAGGCTCTCTGACCTGAAGCACGCAGACAGACTTACAGGAACACATGAGCAAAGCGTAACTGAGTTAAAATCCCCTTTATGAAAACTTTATTAGTACATACTGTTCCATGTTATTTTTAAAACTGTTTGGAAAGCAAAATATGTAAAAGAGGTTTTGTTTTTCCACATTTCATTGGTCCCCACATCCTCCCTGTTATTCACTTATGCAGCCGGAGCTAAGTCAAATCTTCTCTCGACAGAATCGATCCAACAGGCCGGTGACGCTTACCTTGTATCTGTGGGATGTAGGGCGCCAGCAGCTTGCTTCTTTTTTTCTCATAGCCCTTCTGAGTGATGTCTCCTGTACAGACAAAGACAGACAAATAGAGGAACAGACAGAGAGAGAAAAGAGAGAAAGAGACAGGGAGGGGGGACAGAGAGAGATGAGTCATTAGCTCGGCTGAGGTTTGCTGTTCTGTGTGTGTTGGTGTGTATGACGGCCCCAGGATCACACTGCCAGGCTGGTTAGACTGGCACCACATGGTACCAGATCCAGGTTCTGGTTAGGGAATGCTAAATCCCTCAGACATACACACTTTTCGTTCACTCACAGAATATTTAGCAGCTTTACAAGAACAACACTTTTAATATACAAGCTAGAGAAGAGTATTTGAATAATATCAGCTGAGCAAGTGGAGTTTAAAGGATCATTTATGAGTGCCCAAAATAACATCCCAAAGTAGAAATACTGATGGACGCATGACAGTTTTTTTTCCCACTGCATGTGAATAAAAGGCAATAATTTAAATAAGACCAGACGAATCCAAGAGTACGCTTTTAAGAATTTTTTGTAAAATAAATTAAGACAGAAAAAAAAGAAAGAATGAGAGAAATGTGTCAAGAAAGACACAAGTTCTAAAATAACTACAGAGTTGTAAGTCTAGTCTACAGAGTGGCTTAAAAGAGCATGAGAAATGTCAAAAAACACAAAAAGGTCATTATGATGAAGACTGGCCAATCCTAGATAAGTGGAGCACTTCTCGTTTTCCATTAAAGATACTACTTTAAACCTGAATCAGCCTGATGGAATTGTTTTTTGTGTTGTTGTTTAGAAAATTAAGATTCATTTTGAGCTTTTTTTTAAAGCCAAACTATGGGCATGCTTCACTTCCACACCCTGTAACAACTCCGAGGTAGACCAAAACTGGAATACTGAGACACAGAACCTTGTGACAATAACCTCAGCTGTTAGGAGAATCCACCACATGATGCATATCTCTGTGTTGGTTTCAACTTATTAAAAGAAAAATGTTAATCCAGTATTATGAAGTACAGTGTTTATGTTCCTTTCCAAGGGGTTCATGACAGCTGACCAAATATTTCACAAACAATACATCCATCTGAAGACTCGCATAATTATCCAATGCTTCCAGAAAGTATGAAATATTTGTTCATTATTCTTCAGGCAGATTGGATGCATAATGTCCATGAGTGTCCTTGCATTTAGCTCCATCTATCTCCCCATGAACTCTGACAAGCTTCCCTGTCCTCACAAAAAAAAAAAAAAAAAGCATCCCCACAGCTTGATGCTGCCACTACCATTTTCCAAAAAGGAACATTTTGGTCCTATCAGATGACACCACATTCTGCTAAATATTTGCAAAATCTTCTACATGTTTTTTTGCAAACCTTACTAAAGTTGTGGGGATTTTTTTCTTAGCTAAATACAAATGCACTCCACAAACTTTTCCGATTTTCAACATTTGTTGAACCAGGTATCATTTTCCTTTCCCTTTGCAAATATGCATTACTCAGCATTGGTCTACCACAATAAATCTCTAATGGGACAAAATGTGAAACAACTTAAGTAACATTAATTCTTCTGCAAGCCACAGTAAATGATTCCACATCGCTACTTGCAGCTTGTTGGGCTCATTTCTGCTTGTACTCTGCTCTTTAAGCCTCTTCAGAACAACTGTGTGATAATGTGAAGGCAGGTGTTGTTTGCAACGCTGCCCACTGCTCCTGAGTCACCAGTAACAACTGAATGCCTGCACTGTTAAATGTCCAAGAGAGATGGAGGCCAGCAACAATGCAATGCTGTCCACAGGCTAAGCCGTCTGACCTGACACTGACTCGTTCGAGTAATAAATTCTCTGTTTGTGTGCGTGAACATCAGTGAGTGTCTGTGTGCGTGCCAGCGTGCCTGTTTGCACACCGCAGCAGCCATCCAGTTTGACAAACGCACAATAGAGGCCCACTATTCTCTGCGACAGCTCCAAATTCTGGCCTGCGGCCTGCGAGGTCGGGGCGCCCGGAGAACACGCTGATCCATGGAGTTATGTCTCAGTAAAACTAATCTTCTGATCCGAGAACAAGTAACTTTGTCATAAAATATTATGGAATAGTTTTGAATGTTGTGTAAAAGTCACGCCTTACCCTGAGCCCCTTGTTAGACTACATTAAATATTTGATTCCCAAACAATAATTTTTCTCTTAAAAAACATTTAATAAAATAATCAAAGGTTTGTAATACATATTCTGTGCCAGAAGCTGGAGACAACAGTAACAGAAATTCCAAAGTTGCCAAGTTGGCAACTTACAGCTACTTTTTAGAAGAAAAAAAAAAGGGAAAAAAGCCTCAGCAGTGAATCTGGTGACTTTTTGGTGTCATTGGAGAATTATGGAGACTGGTGAGAATGCATGCACTGTTCCTGCTCTTTGTCAACCACCAACAGGAGCTGTCATTACCTGCTCCTCAGGGCAAAGGCACACCCAGTCCTCACCCAGCGGTCCCCCTCAGCTGCAGTCAGAGCAGGAGATGATCCCCTTCTATCAATAAGGTTAAAACCAAAATCAGATTAAAAAAAACTAAGATAGACTCTGTTTGCATGGGTTTGGAAAGGGCTAACATGGAGAAAATCTCTGCTTCCCTAAATATCAGGGCCAGACTGCAACAAACAACTTGGTAAGCAGAGAAGATCATCAGGACTGATCTTCCCTCCATCCTGAAAAAGTTGATTTTGATATCCATCTTAATGAGGACAGAACCTACATCTTGAAGTAAAGAGTTGCAAGATTTCCTCTGGAAGGGTGCACATCCCTGTAAAACAGTGTTTGCACATAAATGATGTGTATCTGTGCATTACTTACTGACTGAATCTATTTCCTCTCTCAGACCTTTAAGTACCTCCATAGGAGCAAAACGGGAGGATTCAAAGGTCAATTTGTGCCCTGCTGACTGGGGAACAACAGAGGGGGGCGGGAGGTGGGAATGGGAATGGTGGGGAGGACACAGATGGAAAGATAGATAGAGGACGGCTTTGCAACTATGGTAAATTGCACAATGGGGTATGGAGTTTCTGCTGCTTCTGGGAAATTTACAACATTTGACCACCTTCTGAGCCATGTACAGAAAAGTCCTCAAATTACGCACTTTAGAAGATTGGAAGCACAGTAAAACAAAACAGAGAAGGAATGTGTCAGATGGGAGATAAACAAAGGCTTGACACAGAGCTAAGGGACTTTCTCATATCATCAAAGAGAATAAGCAGGACGGGCTCAGCTGAAGGACTGCATCTTCTCTCAGTCAGGATCCACCTTAATCATAAGCCTGCTCCTTTGTTCCCTTTATCCTTCCACTCAAACCTCTTCCAGCATCATCCCAGCCACTAAGTCCTCGCTGACGACACACAGAAGCCTTCCTGTCATCTCCTGACCTCCAGACACTTTCTCTCTTTTCAGTCACCTTCAGTCTGCTAAGCAGAGAAAACAAAAACAAAAAGAGAAATCTCCTGTCAAACGTCCACTTCCACACCATCCGTCTGACGTGACAGCATCTTATTTACTGGAGGCTGTGGAAAAAAAATAAAAAAACTCATTCAATCATTTTATGTGGTTACCTTTAACTTTGTCACCCAGGCCGGAATTTAAATTTGATAGCGGTGTGTGAAACTGTTTGCACTTGTGACCCATTAAAAACAATCAGAACCCTCACGCAGCGGAGGTCAAAAAAGTGTTTGTGAATATCTGTGTGCACATCTGAGTGGCAGCAACAGATCAAGTCTGTGATACATCATGAAAAATAATCCAGTAACCTCAACGTTCTTATCCTGACTGCAATCCAAGTGTTAAAAAGAATGTTGCATTGATTTTTTTATAGCTACTATTCTCATGTGTTTAATTAATAGTCTGCTCTACATAAAAAAACAAAACAAAACAATGAAAGTCAAAAATATCTTCCCGATCAGTGAACATACCATACTAAACAATAGCAGGCTGCTCTGATAACACTTCGAAGTAGATGCTGCTATTGAGTAAAGAAGAGTTAAACTTTCAATGAAGTCTGAGGATGTAAAAAGATGTATTTTCCTTGGCACTGTGAGAAATGTGAGGTTCACTGTAGCTGCAAGAGAGCGAGAGAGAGCAAGACTTTAGAGCAGATAAGAGGAAGGCTCCCTGGAGAACAAAGTGTTGTTCTATTTGATCCTTTTGAGCCTTTAAGTGCCGTCTGTCATGAAATATGACGGATTTGGAAATGTTGGCAGCATCTACTTAGGTTTCAAGAATTATAGGTGCACTAACCACATTCATTATTAATGTCATGCTTCCCGGTTTGCATTCAAACAATATTTCCCCAGTTTTCTGCTTTATTTCGAAAGACTAGGACTGCGTTTTAAGTGTGTTTATTTTTTGTGTGTGTTTACATTTGTTTTATCAATTGCCACTCGTAGATTTATTCTTCTCTACATGTGAGAAAGATTACTTAATTTTCACGTTACTGTGGTAGTTATTGTGTTTTATGCTTACCATTTTTGATGCGTGATTATTTGAATTCATTTGGATTTTTTGTTGGGATTCTTAATATCCTGAGCTCTACGTTTAGGTTCTCTTTGTCCATCTCTTGCAAACTGAAGCATAAAAGGAACAATTAGTACAACTGAACTAAAATCAATGTGGCCGGTTTGTGGTAACACCAATTCCTCCTCCAGAATATATAAATCATTCTACAAACATATGGTGCTGCAATTATTGCATTATAAATTTGTTCCTCCTCTGCCACTGAAATCCTTGAACCCCTGAAATAAAAACCTTCATGTCTGCACCAGACTCCAACCCCCTCTTCTTGAATGACCAGCAGCCAGAAAGATGGCCCCACCCTTTCCACAATGTCAGATCCCGTGCCAGTCTGACCCACAAACGTGCCAACTCCGCTGCTGAGCCAGCGATCAAACTGTCTGCCCTTCAGACACAGAAAACCACAACTAAATATTTAGGCAGGGGGAGAAACTACTCTCTGGGCTTGTGCATTAATTGCGGCAGAAAAAGCAGATGTGACCAGCTGTCTGTCAGCATAAGCTTTCCTGCACATTTGGCCTAGGTTTTATATGTCACTGTCATTTGAATCTTTCAATTTTTTTCTGTACGTATTTGCAGGAATGGAATATCGTGATCATCTGATTTTAGGATGCAAAGTATTTCTCTGATCCGACTTTAACTGGACATACGTGTGCATTCACATCTGATGAGGAAAGAAAAAGGCAAAAATACAGATAAGAGGAAAAAAAGCACAACACCACAGGGCATCTTTACAGTCTATCTTGGACTTAAAATGCTTGGTTAATAATAATAGCATTAAAACACACACACACACACACACACACACGCACACACACACACACACACACACACACACACACACATAAGACCTGTAGCAAACTATAAAGACAGGCAGAGTAACTCACAGAAGCCAGTGGAGGCTGCATAGCGGTGATGTCTTCAGCAAACACAGCAGTGATGGAAGGAGGTTCAGAATAAGAGGCCGTGGGGTCAGCCGAGGCTAACCAGCTAAAACAGTCTAACACGTCCTGCTGTCATAAATCAGGCCACTCTGCCATTCTTTGTTTCCTTTCAAAGTCAGAGCAGGAGAATGATCGAACCCCATCTCCCTCATCCTGCCGTCCTATCATTCCCCTCCCTCTCTCTCTAACCCTCCACTCGCAGCACCCCTCTCTGCTATCACCCCCCCCCACCTAAACACCCCCCCACCTCTCTCTCTCTTTCACCGTTTCCATCCGTCCCTTGTTCACTCTCCTCCCAGCGAAGGTTTCCACAAAGCCGAGCTTGGCTGCAGGATTAGGGTGTCAAAGCAGACCCCTGCCCCCCACCTTTCCCACATACCGATCCCACACAGCACTTCCACTGTACAACAACTGTGAAGAGCCTTCATTAGCTTGTTGTGACACGTTCACACAAGTCAGGTTGCACCGCACGAAGACAGCTTGTTTCAAAGCAGAGCAACAAAAATCAAACATGAAGATTACGAAACAAAGAATCAGAAATATCAAGTGAGGGATGAGTTTGGAAACTTTGAGATTGACATTGTAATTCTTCAACAATTTCTACCTAAAAACTGCTTTGTGGGTAAAAAAAAAAAAAAAAACATTCAACCAGAGGAAGCCACTGAGGGGTGAGATTAGTCTATCTTTGATGTTGAGGAAAATCCTCCCCTGTATTTAGACTGGCTGGAGATAGAGTACTCCAGGAGTCCCACGGGTTTCCTCAGCCTCCTCCGAAGAGGAGGGGATAGATGTCTGCATGTCTGAGCGGCTCTGCATCTGTATTTCATTTTAGACATTAGCCACCTATTTGCCCTGTGGCATACACGTTCAGTGAATGCCTGCATATGATTAGGCTAATTAATGTTTAGCTAATGAATGTAGCCAAACACTTCCAGAGAAAAGAACATCCTGTCTGCTTCTTTAGGCATTTCACTGCCAGGCTAATCGCCTTCTCCGAGGAGGTTTATGGGGAAAATCCTGTACAAAGCCATTGAATTCAATATGTGAGGTAAATTAATAACCACTGTTGATTTTATAGAACAAAATACATTTCCTTGTGAATTTTTAGGCTGGTGGTTAAATAGGATGGTAAAATGATTCATACCCTTGGCAGATTTTGATATTTTCATTAGTGCTTAGTCAAAAGGAAATTACCAACAACTAAAGGCTAAAAGTAAGAAAAAAGTACAAGAGGTATCATTGTTGTAAAACAAATAATGTTTTCGTTAACAATTTAATAAAAAAAAAATTACAAGTTAAATTGCTTTTTAAAATTGTCAATTATCAAACACCTTTCTAACGCCTACCTTCTTCATGTTTTAACGTTTATTTTTAGTGATGAGCTTCTAGTTTTTGAGGTTGGAAGAGCTCTTTGCCATCACCCTAATCTTTAGCTACCTCCACAGATGCTATATCAAAATCAAATCTGAACTTTGGCTGGGCAATTTCAAAATACTCACAGATAGAAGAAACATGTTGGTAAAAATAAATTGAAATAATACATTAAACATAAATCTTCTACAGTTTCTAGACTAATTGACAACTGCTCAAACCAATTAAACACATTAGAGCAGTGGAAATCATACAAAATACTTTTTAACTTTTTGTGTTTCATTGATAAGATGCACAATTGTGAACATTAAAACAGCTACATTACTTTATGAAAACTTAGAAATGTTATACAGATGAATATTGATCACTTTTGTGCCAACGAACACATTTTTAATCACCTTATCTTCCTCAACAATGTTGCACTCAGGACATGCATGATCTGTAGAATGTAACTACAATCTTTATTAACTGTTAATATATTACTGCATGAGTGACTTTAAATGTCATAACAAAGTGCAGCATTCAAGTGGTCATATGCAGTTGCAATATTGCACTTTAACAATATGATGATGACTGTGAATCCATATTTTCTGCAGCCCCGCATGGAAGCAGTGACATATTCAAACAGGATCATTTTGTTTATTTCCCTAATGTCATGTTGAGTTCTTCTTACGGGTTAGGAGAGGATTTTAAAAATATCAACTACTGTCAAAACAGAGGAAGAACAACAGAAAAAAGGAAAACTCCCATGTCAATTTCTTAATTCAAAAAGGAAATGAAGTGTTGCATTCCGATGACTGTGTTAAATGCTGCCCGTCCTAATGGCATGTTAGAGGTAATACACAGGACACATTGTTGAGTCCAAACTGCTGCCTGTAAATTGCTCAAGTACAGCCTTTGGAGGGTGATGGAGCTTTGCAGAGTTAGACATGTCATTGGAGCTGTCAGGAAGGCGCCTACAATCTTTGCTGTTTTGCTGACTTTGCCCACAGCCCCTCAGGTATGCTCAGGAGCAAAATCAGGAACCCCAAAAAAGAACCATGGCTGTTTTTTTTTTTTATCCGCAGAATTGGCCTCACCACTTAGAAATAGTGATTTCAGTCATTTCCAGAAACATTCTGGCACCTATAGACTGGTTAGTCACAGTCATATGTCCTCATCTAGAGGTTTGTAGCACAAATGTAAAATACTGAAGTGTTTAACAGGATATGATCATTCTTGCAGAGCAGATTAAATGGTCAAAATTCTTGCTTAAATCTATTTGTTATTTTCCCAAAATGACAATTACATTGATCAATTTCTTCTCCCTAAATTTCTTTTCAAACAGACCAAGGAGCTGCCAAAAGATGCCAGAGACAAGACTGGGAATGACTACAAGACCATCCAGAAGTTGATAGCAATTAGTGCATATATTCATCATCAAAATGATTACCGTTAGACGTCAGCCTGGAGCTCCAGGCAGGATCTTGACTCACATTGTTAAAATTATTATAGCAAAGATAGGGATCGACCTTCGGCCTTCCGTTAATGATCCTATGGCAGTTTTGGAGCTGACCAAATCTCTCATGAGAAGCGTGATGACCAGCAACAACAAACATCTTGGCACTGTGCTCAGCGGCAGAGTATAATCTACAAAGTTCTTAAACACATTTTTAGCGGATTATTGATTTTGCAGGGGTTTGTTTGATTCAATCGGTAGATTAAAATAAAGCTTCTGTTCACAATCATTCACAATTAGAGGCTGTTCATTGGTAAGAGAACAGTACAGACTGCTGAAAATGTATCGCAATAAAGAAAACAATAAACAAAACATATTTTGTAGCCCTAAACACTTTGCAGTCTTGTGATAAGGCAAAGAAAAAAACAGAAAGAAATTGGCCCTTGAAGTCCTTTGAAACTAAAAAATGTGCAAACAGCAATGTTCCATTCACTTCAGGAGTTTACAGCAAACTTGATTCAAGGCCAAATCCATTTAGCTCACATACCGAATGTAGCATTCTGCTCCAACTTGGATAAACTTAAGGCTATAAGAAATATGTCTGTTAAAGCATAAGTTGAACAGAAGTACCTGTAGACGCACTGATAGATAATTAAAATAAGAAAAAAACAAACATTGAAAAGACTTGGAGTAAATCAGCCTCAGGAGGAAGACGGGTAAGTGTTGCAGAAAAGAGGGTTGATTGAAGATGACGATGAAACCGAAACTGGGAGCCAGCTGGAGAAACATCAGGAGGTGGAGCTGACTGGAGAATTTCAGACACAAAAGGAAGACATGATGACAAAAAGAGGAAAGAGAGAAAAATGAGAAATAGAGGAGGACATGATTAAAAGATAATGACTTCCTCTTCCTTTCTAAAGACGCACGTGCTGCTAATACACACACACACACACTATCTGATAACTCTGATCCTAAGGCGCCATGGCGTCCCTCGGCCTCCATCCATCAACAGCTCCAATCACAGCGTCGCATCGCTTTTAATTAAGTAGTGCCAACCAATTAGGAGAGTGAACTAACCCTCCATTACCACTTTGTTAATACACAACCCCCTCATCACAAACACACACACACACAGAGACCAAAATCCCCCCTTCGTCCCTCAGGCTCAGTATGGCTGGTGAGCAGACAGACAGCGTGAATAATAAGACATTAGATGCAGCGCTGCTTTACACTGGGGAGCCTGCAGCTGTGCACTGTTTCAGGGAGCAGGCAAGAGGGGCAGCCATAATTAACAAGTCACAAATCAACACTACTATTGTATACATACACAACAGAGAAACACACTTACATCAGTTCTGGGAGAAATAAAGAAGCAAGACCACATAGACATAAGTGCAAGGACACATTAACCTGATAATGTGCCATAAACAAATTAAAAGTATCCTCAGTTCAATTTATCCCAACTGAACGTTCTCATATTTTCTCTTTACCACCTCAAAACTCAATGGACTTTACTAAAATATTGTCAAAACGGAAAGGAAAAAAATTGTTAGGAATGCTGGTCAGAGTTGACAATAACACGAATGAATGTAATCCTAGACGAAAACACGTTGAGCTCTGTGGCAGTGCCGAATGCGAGAGGGTTTGTTAGTACGTGTAAGAGAGTTTGTAAGTTTTGGCCCATGGGGCCTCTCATAGTCCACCTCCAGTCCCAGAGAGTCTGCAACTTCTTCAACACACCTGAATCAAAAGGCTGGATTCCTAATCAGCAGGCCTGGTAATGATGCATTCATTTGATTCAGCTGTGTTGGAGCAGGGAAGCATTTAAAAACTGTTGGGTTCGCTGTGTTAGCGGCGGCAGCAGACTTGAGACCAGGAGGTTTAACTTTCCAGCAGGACAATGTCCCTAAACACGCACCAAAAGCTACAACGGAAAGATTTGCATCAACTTTTCTTCATGTATTAAAATTGCCCAAAGTCCAGACATAATTTAAATAAAGACTCTGAGGCAAAACCTAAAAAGCGAGGTTCACAGATGCCGTCCGTCCAGTGTGACATCACTTGAACTATTTTTGCACAAAAGAATGTGGAAAAAAATCCAGTCCTTTCATTGTGCAAAACTGACATAACGCAAAAGAATTGCAGCAAACAGGTGGCTGGACAAGAAAATTGTTGGTACAAATGCCATCTTATAGTTTTCAGGTTTTTGTTTTTTAATAAATATTGAAAATCTTGTTCAATTTTTTTTTCTATTCACTTTACATTTATGTGCTTTTTTTGTTGTGCTTATAAAATATTTTATAATAGATGGTTGTAATGTGCCAAAAGGTTCAAGGTTAAACACAAAGTAAAGAAAAAAGGTAAAAAAGTAAACGGTTTGGTGTCGGGTTTGTAGTAGAGAAGGTTAGAATAATAGGACATATTGTCCGCGAGTGTCCTCAAGTATGTAAATGAAGCAAACCGTTGGTTCATATATGCGAGAGTCGAACTGGTCTGGCTCCGATCCAACCCCATTCATGTCGGCTTCATTTACACATGCTACTCCCAGAATGCGCTGAGCTGTGCTGCTATTCTGGCCCTCAGCCAGGACTTCACGATGTGCAAACACGTGTCTCACCTACAGGAACAGCAGCAGCAGAGATGGCGCAAAGCAACATTACACAGCACAACGGAGGGCTTTCAGAAACCTCCAGAGCAAAGCAGACCTTAATTCCATACGTATGAAAATACTATTAAATAATTACATTTTTATCACATCTGCACCGCTAGGTTATTTTTGAAGTCTAATAGAAATTAAAAACACAAAGTGAAAGAATATAATCAAAAAAAAAAGAAAGAAAAAAAAAAAGCAATACTGTCTCATTGTTTGAGTGTTTTCATTCTGCCTGTGGGCTTAGTGTGTATTCATGTGTGTGATTTGTGGAGCGCGACATCTGTGTGACAAGCGTGACCAGTGCAGGAGCCTCAGCGTTAACACACCGCCCTGAAATAAGAGTATTATGCTCAAAGCTGGAAAGCAGCATTCAGTCCTCAGCTGCACTAGAGTAAAATAACTTACTCCACTCGCTTAGAGCGGCAGAATGTTTCAGTCATCCACTAACATGCTTATAAATCAGCTCTGAGAGTGGAGACAGCCACCAGGATCAGGCCTGAGCTGCAAAAATAAATTGTCCAGGCCAGTGCACTTCTACTAATGTTTGTGCTCTGGAAGCTGAGATTGTAAAGCAAAAATGTGAACAACAATGTGGAAGCTTCAGGAAACTTTGACTTAGCTCCTCCCAGAGGATGACTAAATATCCATCACAATTGGTTTGGAACTCAAGTTTGCAGATTAGGACACTTACACAATGTATTTCTATGAAATCAGTAAGTAAGAATTACGTTTCACTTAACAGGAACACAATCTGAAAAATAATTATTCAAGAAAGGAAAAAGTCCAATCACCTGATTTCAGTCTGCTTTCCTAATAGAGAAGCTTTTGAGTAGCTCCATCTCCCACCTTCTTGGCAGAGGCACCTTGCAGCAGCTCCAGCATGGACCTCACTGATCAGTAGCCCAGCATCCCTGCACTCAGAGATAGGAGTCGGATGGTGACCCATCGGAAGCCTCCAGATCAGTGTCTTCTGCTCGCTCCTCAGCGCGGTCTCAGAGGACCTGAAGCGATTTATTGTCTTCTTTTTCACCCGGTTATTACCATATGAATGGTCATGTTTCACCGGCTTGACACAAGCTCAGCCATTTAGCTCCTTGCAGATGTACACACACAAGCATTTTTTTTTTCTTTATTGGGGGACAGCAAGGTGGGGGGGGGGGTAGTGTGCACAAACAAAATGCTGAACATCAACACACGGATACCATGGCATTTCAGTTAACGAATGCAACCACAGATCCACGTAGTTGTAGGGTTGCAGTAGGAAACGGTGTGTATGGGTTTGTCCATATATTCGTCTTTGCCCAGAACTAATGAGCTCTGTTCTAAGAGTTTCAAGGAACAAAGCAAAGCCTTTTTTGTTCCTCATCTGTGATTTGTCGCGACTGGGTCTTGGTGGAAAGCCCAGCATCAGTATGAGATGAAAAGAAAAACACATATGCGACTGTGCTTGTAATACCTTAAGTACGAGTCTAATTTTTTCACTGCCAATATGAGATATGGTTGCCTAGGGTTGTTAGGATCAACTCTAGAAAGTGAAGACAGCCAAACTATGCAGTATTATCTGGACAAACACCACACTGTTTTACTGAAATTGTTTATTTTACTAAAATAACCAAGTGACCTACTCAAGGTCTAAGTAGACCAATTTTCTCTCCATCATCTCTGAATGGTGATCAGCACATCAAGTGCAGAAAAATGTGATTAATTCAATGCACAAAGACAAAAAAATGAAGTGATTTTTGGTCATCAACAAAAGACACATACTTAGATACATGTCTTTAGTTTAATAGAAATCTGAAATGGTTAAAGGAAAAAAAAAACAGTGAATGGGAAGAAGATCCATATTGTGTCATTTTTTTGTTGGAATCAAAACTGTTTATCAAGGAGCCTGCACAACATGTTCTTCTCTTTATTTCTTATAATTAATAGTAAAAATGGTTGGAATTAATCAAAAATTGGACTTGGCAGGTAAAAAGCTTGATCGGTGCATCACTGATTCCAGTTAAAGGTGAAGGGAGTGAGGTACCTTTACTGCCTAAATAAGTTTGTGTTTCCATTCTCCCCCAAATGTTTAACAAAGCACAAAAATGTCTGTTTTTCTTGATTATTTTCTTTCCTATTCTTAAAGCAATTATGTTAAATTGCTGTTTTTTTACACTTATTATTTCCTGTTTTTTTTTTTTCTTAAATTTTAGTTTTTTACCAGAGGTAAGATGTATTTCATTTTGTGAATGCACATATGCACCAAACCTTGGCTGGGAATCCAACCCCACCACCTCAGTGTGGGTGTGTGGGGCACCTTTCAGCCTGCACCTGATGCACTCAGTCTACACACTGAGTTTAGATCCAAATTCATCATTTCTAACATTATTCTTTTTATTGGAATTACCAAATAGCTACAAGGTTTTTTCCTCTTACGTTTTTAATCTAACAATATCACTAAAGTTAGATCAATAATGTGAAGTTGAGGATATAAGGCAGATATTTTTCAAAATAGTAATGTGCAATAGTATTAAAAGATCAGTCCCCTGCTACTTTTTTGTTCAATAAATGTCTCACGTTACTCAATTTCAGCAAAACCACAAGTATGTTTTTGTGCGTTTTCCCCAAGATTTATTCTCTCAAGTGAAAATGTACAAAAACAGCTCGTCAGGCTGATCTCTACAGGCTGCTGGACAGGATGACCACAAGCTTCACCTCATTTCACACACCATCTGTTCCTCACTTTACATCTCTCCTAAAGCTGTAATTCCAACACCTATAAAAATATAAGTGGTGTTGCAAACAATTATCTAAATGAGGATTTATTACCTTTAAGGTCACATGTCAGACTTTTTCTAGTTAGTATTTTTTTTTTTTTTTTTTTTTTTGCTTCCACGCTGGCAATCAGATTCAAACCTTGATTCATTTTAGTACAAGTACATACAGTCCAACTTTTATTATTAACACCATCATCTGAGCACAGATGATGCCTTAAATAAGGAGCTCTGGTAAAATAAGGCAAAATTAAGCTTTCTGGTCTAAATGCGATGCACGGTAGAAAAATCCACAACCTAAAAATACCAAACCTACCATGAAACATGGTGGTGGCAGAATCAGGCTATAGGGATGAATTCCTTCTGCACATACAGCAAAGACATTTTAAGTTGCCTGGAAGGTGGATGAAGCTGAAGATAGAGAAATGCTGGAAGACAGAGGCTGAACGTTCACATTTCAGCAACACAACAACCATAAAGATACAAAACCAGCTAAAATGGGATGGAATGCCACCTCTCTGCCAAAGTCCGCTGGTAACGGGCACCAGCCTCCCTGCGTGAATAAGCCCTTACTATTATGAACTACTTTGTGCTTCATTTCTCACGTGAAATATGCTGAAGCTTGTGGCTGTAGCAAAGCACTTTTCCACTTATCTGGATCTAAATGAAATTATCCGGAAGATGAACGTTTAATAGTTGTATTGTTTATTGCTTTCTCCTTCTTTTCCCTCTGTCTTCTGTTGTTTTACCTTCCCTAAATAATTTCTTAGATCAGTCTCTGTTGCTGGAGTAACGACTACCAAAACAAGACCCCGGCCTGCGGCGGCACGAGAAGCAAACCTTCAGCTCTCCACAAAAATTTTGTTGTTAAATATGCTCCTTCGATGTAGTCTCGCATGACTCCTTCACAAATATTGCATTGAAGCCTTCTATTTCTCGTCTATAATATTGCATGGTGGCTCTTTCTACTTCCTCAGCAACAGAACCAGCTGAACTCTGCTCTTCTTGCAGCTTTGCAGCTCTAAATCAATTAGAAAGGGGCAGAGATGGTGCTCTCAAGGCCAGGCTTAACCCTTTAAAATTTTAACAACACGGTGCATCACTGTTTCAGTCGATGTTTACGAGGCTGAGCTGGCAGGAGAACATCTGGTGGCCCTCGGAGGAGAGCAAGATATACTGTAGAGTATATTTACAGTAAGTAAAAGTTTGGTTTTATATCAGCCAGGTGTTTGCAAACTGGATTTCCACTTTGAGTCAATTAAATAAGTTGGAAAGTGCGAGTGAAATATCTCACACACAC